GCAGTTTCCAGCTTTAAAAATCATCCTAATCATACTTGTCACCATATCATCATCATCATCTTAAGAGTGAGAGAGCTTTGACAGGAATGGGTCAGCTCGACTGGAGTGATACCACGACCTCACAGAAAACCGATGGAAAACAATCACATCGTTGTGTTTTGACGTGTGATTGATGTTACCGGATACCCAATCCTTACCCTTTCTAATCCCATATTTCCAAATCCCCAATTCCTAAAAGGTTGGCAACGCGCTGGTAACTCCTCTGATGTTGCGGGTGTCTATGTGCGGCACTCTGAGTCGGACTTACCATGAGATAATCTGTTTGCTCATTTAGCCGTCCGTCCTAGCTTCTGCTTGAAGATTTGAAACATGAATTTTGGCACGATGGTGTCTTTTATGTGAGTTTACGTTTGAAGACAGATTGAAAAGGAAATTTCAAAGCAAGTATCTTGCTAAAAAACAAAACCAATTACTTACTTGATATCCCTCATTGGGATAGCGTATTAAGATATAAAGTCAAAGTCAAAGTCAAAATCATTATCATTTATTTCAATTAGACCCATACAGGCACTTTTGAACGTCAAACAAAATGTTAAATATAAAGTGTCAGTCTGTCGGTCAGTCCTCTTATTCAAGCCATTTGCTCGTTCCAAAGTGTAGATTCCGATGGAGAAGAACGTGCAAGAAACTGTAGCTCAATTTGCTCTAGCAATTAGAATAAGGTCCGTATTCTTGGGATATCTTTATATATACCTTTTATCTATGGGGTATCTACAGGGTTTACAGGAAAGGTGATATAGGTTCATAGGACTAACGTTCCATGGTTACTCCATAAAATACGAGCGATGTCGAAGATTCTCGTCAAGACTCGATGATTATTTAAACAATTTTAAACGTCGATTTTTTTTTGTGAGGAGAAAATCATCAAATGTCTTCTCCCGCCCAGAGCCGGACGGGAGTGTCAGACTCTTACTGACTAAAAACCCCCCTGTTCCTTCTCCTGCTCTGGGCCGAGGTCGCGGTGCCTCATTGTTACCCCGCAACCCCGGCGCAACGTCGATGCTGTTATCGGGACGTACTTAAATAACTTAATACTCTAAGATACTTGATACTTAATTCAGATGGTACTTCAACTTTTGTCAGTGAAATGTCGCTTTGTACCCGCTGCACACCAGATCGTCACACTTCCTTCGAAAATCTGATGGAGGAATTAATTAAATCTAAGGGACATCTCCTCGAGACCCTGCCATGCCATCTTTTCCAGTGATATTCTCAAATACCTCTAACATTCCAACTTGTATTTTTTGACATACCGCCATTTTATATGTAAATATTTTAAACTACTTAGTATGAGAATGAACCCCTTATATTTAATTAGTACGAAAAACGTAGGCAATATGTTTGTTTGCACGTTCGTTTTTAGGATTAAGTTTAGAGATTTTTTTGGTAAGGGGAAAATCATCAAATGACTTCCCCAGCCCCGGGAAAGCGAGAGAGAGAGTGTCAGACTCTTACTGACTAAAAACACCCCGTTCCTTCTATTGCTCAGGGCCGAGGCCGCGGTGCCTCATTGCGCTTGCCCCGCAACCCCGGTTGAACATCAGCCCTATGGGGCCCCGGGTGTGGTGGTCTATTGGCTCTTTGAGACACGCGCCGAACGCTACGTGCCGTACGCTCGGGTCTGGTTCTGGTCAGGCGGATAGTTACCCTACTCGCCGTCCACAGACCCGCGCTTACGGCGGCTGGAGAGCCACGCCAATTAGGGGTGATACTAAGTCAAGAAATGCGTCATAATTTCCAAAATGAAAAGTTAATACTTTTTATTATAATTGGCAATACATGTAATTGAAGGATTGTGTGTGACTTACACGCATTTGAAAGGCTTGACTGTATGTAAGTAGGTGAAGGTAAAATGTATTAGCGTTGAGGCAACATAGGAAACTGAAACGCGTACGTTTGTAGTTGAACTGATTTTTTATGTGTTAGGACGACAAACGAGCAGTCTGATAACCTGATGGTAAGAAATCAGCACCGCCCATGGACACTCACAACAAAAGAGGAGTTACGAGTACGTTGCCGACCTTTTGGGGATGAGGATTTGGAGATTTAGGGAGGAGGGAAAGGATTGGGCCTCTGTTAACCTCACTCACATGGCGAAACACAAGGCTGTAAATGAAATGGTTAGCTTACTTGTTCTTCTCCATTCGAATATACATTTTGGAACGAGCACTATTTGATATAATTATTAGCTTCACTGACGTTTATTTTCATCTTAAACTTCTTATTTTAACAAATTTTAGAACAAAAAATACTTCCCATATCGTCTTACATCTTTCATCTTATGTCTTTCTTCATTTATCCCGTTGACTCTTCATCGTTCATAATAGTTCACACATTCCTTTCTGCTCATTCATACATTCCCTTTCACCCAGTATCTATTCACTCCACAAAATTAAATATATATTTTGATTTAAAAACACAGATCTAAAATGAAACTCAAACTTCACATTAAAAAACTCATTTTCATATTTCCAACAACAAAAACTAGACAGCATTGCCATGCGCTGTTTTTAAAAAGTTTCGATTTTGGATGTTACTGACGCAAATATTGTTGTGTAGGTACGTGTTTTCTCATTTTAATTTTTTATTCTACATTTCGTTAATTAACATTTTTTTAAATATGTGATTGTATAACACTATTTTAATTATTTATTTAAACTTAATACACAAACATACAGGAGGACTTGATACCTACCTAAAGCATTGCAAGAGTCGATCTTTAGGTTCAGCCGGGGTTGCGGGTTAAGCGCATTGAGTCACCGCGGCCTCTAGCCAGAGCAGGAGAAGGAACGGGAGGGTTTTTAGTCAGTAAGAGTCTGAGACTCTCCCTTACCCTGGACATGAGAAGCCATTTGATGATTTTCCCCTGACAAAAAAAGAGTAGATCTTTAATTGATGCAGATATGAGATTGGTTGGTCATATTACATGAATATAATGAACTTAGATACTATTATAAACATGCATTAAGGTATTCCATTTCCAGGGTATAAACACAATACCCTGGAAATAACAGCCGGGTCATAGGCGTTAGCGCAATAATATACATAGGCACCGCTACATACCGCTGCTCCGGTGGTCAGTTAAGAGTCTGATAATCCGTCTCACCCCATCAAAAATAAATAAATACTATTGATGATATAATGTAAATAGCACTTTATTTAGGCTACTGACTAGTCTGTACCATTAGTATTGCTGTTGTCCTGAAAAAATAAAATAAAATAAATAAATGGTCGGAGAGCCATGCTTCAACACGAATAAGTCGACTCGACCCTCGACCGACTTGAAACAACTACCGCGTTGTGTTTCGCCGTGTGACTTGTGAGTGAGGTTACCGGATGCCCAATTCTTCCTCTCCTCAATTCCTAAATACCCAATGAAAAATAATTTTAATTGCTCTATGAACAGTCTCCGGTATCATATTTTTTTTGGTTTTAATTATGTATTAGGTTCTTCAATGAATGTTTACAGCTTGCATGCTGCATGCCAGCTTGCACGCCGCATGCTTGCTTGCTCGCTGCATACCTGCTTGCATCTCCGCATCTTCCACTAAAATAAAATGGATTGACTACTTCTAATAACTAAAAATGATTTCATTATCGCCTGATCACAAAGATGTAGCAATTAATGTTTTTTCTGCGATATGATGGTTCTGCTTTTCCATTATTATGGACATAAAATTTATGCCTCAGGAATGGATATGATTCGGACTAACAAAATTATGATTTTCGAATTTATGATAAGTGAGTGTATGCCAAACAACTTTCTGCGAAATGAAGAAAATGATGTCGAAAAAAGTTCTGCTTTAAAAGATAGACCCATTAGATAATTTATTCAAAAATTAACATCGAAACAGTCATATAGGCCACGTAGGTACATCGGTACATGAATTTATTGAATTACTGTCCAGTGTAAGGTTATGTCAGTACGCAAGTAGGTGAGGGCCGGTAATCGTCATGTTAGGGAGATTATCTTACAGTTACTGTGTAGGCCTACTGTAAGGTTTCCTGCCCTTGTCACCGGTAAATGTTTTACTGTCTCTGCATGTTGCCTGTTGACTACGATTCTCAATACTTGATGTAGGTGAATATATTATTTGTTATAGAAATAAAAAAACAAATTTATTTTTTGATCCAAAAATTTACATTGTAACACATAACTAAGTATTTTTAACTGTGGGAGAGCCATGCTTCGTCACGAAGGGGTCCGGTCCAAGACCGGAGTGTGGCGGTACGGCCTCTCAGAAAACCGACGTGAAACAACCACAGGGTTGTTTCGCCGTGTGAGTGAGTTTACCGGACGGAGCCGGAGGCCCAATCCTTCCCCTACCACCATCCCTCCACAATCGTAACGCCTTTGGTGTTGCGGGTGTCCATCAGGTAATGCGTCTGCTCGTTTGACCTATCTCATAATTAACACACCGAACCAATTTTAATATTGTTTATACAATAAGGCCTGACGCATTATAAAATTCAACGAAAACTAAAGTTTAGAAGAGCCATGTTTTGACAAGAATGGGCCGGCTCCACCGGAGTGGTACCACGGCCTTACAGAACACCGGCTAACTCCTTTGGTGTTGCAAGTTGTCCATGGTTTGCCCTGATTGCTTTTTCTCAGGTGATACGCCTGCCCGTTTGCCCATCTCTACCCAAAAAAGACTACCAGATACGATGAACCTAATTCAACTCGTATTCGATTCGAGAGTCCTTGATCCTCGATGATCGATAGGCACCACGCATAACACATCAGGCGATTTAAAAATAACAATAAAATTATTGCTAAAGAAATTACTCTTAGTAAATGTAATAAATTTCAATGTGTAGTAATTTCAGTTTTATTTCAGAACTTACTTAGGATATAATAATGCCTAAGTTTGTTTGTTTAAGAAGATAAACAGTCTGCCAGGGGGACGGACGCCGCTCCAGAGGGGTAAACCGCCGACATGGCCGAGAAGAAGGATCTGGAGGCCGTGAGTTATATTTTGTTAATAATTTATATATCTATTAATTAAATTCGGTTTTTTAAATACAATATCATATTTTCGAACGGGACATAACAGAATTTTCCTGTTATATCCTTTTACATGCTTTCATTACTGATGGCTAACACACTACCTGTTTTAGCCGTTTGCTGGGCATCGAAAGGTGTTAGTGTATCATAATCATAATAATCCTTTCGTGCCGTAACGGGAATAAAATAAACGTTTACATACTTTCGTTACTGATGGCTAACTACTCGTAATAGCCTTTTGGTGCCTACCAAACGGCTAACACGGGTAGTACATGTTAATTTTCTGAAGGGTTAGCCTTCTAGGGTCATGTGAATTTTGAGATCTTAATATATATATCTATTATATACCTACAATGTCATACATAACAAGAAGTCAACGTTATATGTAAAGGTTAAAGTTAAATAAGTATCTATAGGTAGACATCTTTTAATGTCTCTCTGTCTTTAACAAATAAGTCTTAGTCAATTAAAGTAACCCAATATAAAATGTTATTATAACCTATTTGTTTAATTTTAAAATTTCATTTATAAATTAAGAATTAAATAGCTACACAGTCAACTTAGTTTTTCTCTAGGTATGTCTAATCAATACTTATTGTTTCGCCATTTTAGTTTCCAAACATTAATTTTCTTTCTAAAAGAATAAAGAAAAAAGTATTCTAAAATTACTAATTAAATTGTAATGTACTTTAAATATATCTCCTCCTTTGTATCGTTCTAATTTCAAATGCTACTCACCGCGATGCCATTACCATATAAAAAAGTTATCACAAATTGTTTTGACATTTTCCAATTACAAATTTTGGCGGGAAGTAAAACTAACCAAAGAATTTCGAACTACGTAATTATTTTATGAAATCGAGATTCATTTTTTTAAGATACACCATTATTACTTTTGGTTTTACATACTTTAATACAAAAATCTTGAAAACGAGGCAAACAATCGATATGCTCTTAAAAAAAAATGTTGTGGAGCTACTTTCGTTTGTCTATGCAAATATTTACTGACTTTTTATATTGTTGACAGGGTGACCCCGAGCTAGAAGGTGGTCGGAAACCGATGGACTTACCAACCCTTCCCAAACCCTTGACTCTGGAGGAGAAAAAATATCTCCTTGCTGTGGAACGTGGGGACATGGGAAATGTTAGACGGTGAGTTACTTACGAACAATCAATGACGTATTATATATAGACACGTCATGAACCAACATCGCGGCGCTTAAAAACGGCGAAAATACTAGATAACTACTTCTACGAGTAAAGAAAGGGAAAGCAAATATGACATCGTATAGTGGAATGCCTTTGCTAGAGGGAGATAAATATACATCTTCAGTTATGCCGACGGCACGTGACCTTCATGCGCTGGCCGCCATAAGATGGCGGGCGCCGGCGTCGAAAAAAATAAAATAAAAATAGGTTGTTTGGTGAACTTACGCATGAAATGACACATTTTTGTCTTTAACTTTTGGAGTATAATTTGTACATCGTCTGAACACACACGACGATATGCTTTCTTTGCGTTTCGCACAGGTTTACACACGATATAAATTAAAAACAAACGTAGCGTCGCGCGGCAGGTTGGTGCGTGACTAAGCGCGATGTTGTCAAATTGCCTTCATTTCATGTTGCCATTTTAGAGCGCGGACAACGTATCTATAGATTTATACATCATTGCGAACAATGATATTATATACCAAAGTAAAAAGGTGTAAATAGGTTACAAGCGCTCAGAAAGTGATACATTAAATAAAATGGGGCTAACTAGCCACACTTTTTCATATTTGTCTCTTTTTCACTCGCGATTATTGAATCATGCCATCCCACTTTAGCGTGTATCATACGATTTATGCATGTGCGCATAAGTGTGCCGTTTTTGAAAATCGAATGTTGTTTATACCATTTTACTTATTTGCTTACGATTAAATTATATATTACGGTTTATTAAATGTTTTACTAAAGTAGTACGTAATTTCTTCAGGTGTGAATTGATTACTTACGAGTCCAAGCACAGACCTGGAACAACAATTAGAAGTTAAAATGTAAAGTAAAGAAAGAAAATATCTTTATTTTCATAAAAATGCCGATTACCGGACAATGTTTCAGTGATCTGTCGGCTTGTTTGCCCGTCCACTTAAAAATGCATAAAAAACATTTATTTTCTGACTAAAATAAAATATTATAACGTCCATCATTATAATAGTTTAGAAACTTTTTTTTACGAGCAGACGGATTACCTGATGGTAAGCAATCAGCGCCGCCCATGGACCCCCGCAACGGAGGAGTTAAGAGTGCGTTGCCAACCTTTTAAGGATTAGGGTTTTGGAAATTTAGGGATCGGGGGAGGGGAAGGATTGGGCCTCCGGTAACCTCACTCACACGGCGAAACACAACGCTGTGGTTGTTTCACGCCGGTTTTCTGTGAGGCCGTGGTATCACTCCGGTCGAGCTGACCTATTCGTGCCGTAGCGTGGCTCTCCCACACTTTCGTTACTAGGAAAAGTATAGACACTTGTCCCGTGACTATTTGTTCGAAACTTTATTTCTTTTGTCTTATTTTTACAAAAATGTCGGCGTTAAATCGGAAAAGAGGTTGACTGTTTTATTATTTAAGATCAAATACTAATAATGATGATTTGATACTTAACCGTACCTGCAAAAAAATTACTTCCTAATACCTAAACTAAGCTAGATTTTCCAAGATTCTATTTACTATTGAAAATTATTAATAAACACTATTTTCATTATAGTAAACTTTAGCTCTACGTTTCTATTTGTGTAATAATTTACCTATTTGCGTCAAAAAAGAACAAAAAACAAACCAGAGGGAGCTCCATTCCATCCCTCTTTCTCGCCCTGAAGATTGACGCTTTAACACGCATCATGGTAGGCCTACAGGAGTAGAATACGAAATTTCGACGCACCAAATATCGATAAATGGTAATACGATGCTGCAAAATTGCGATGCACGTTACCGCGAAAGATTTTCACTGCGATACTACTTAACTTCGATGCACGTTCGATAATCTGCTCGTCTTTCATTAATTCAAATTCAAATTCAAATTCAAATTAATTTATTGTTTGTTACATGTTTACAATTAGATGTTATTTTATAATATTAGTAGCAATGTAACATACCTAGTATAAGGTGTACAATCATATATGATAATTATTTGAAATTAGGTATTCTACTTCAGTATTCTAACATAAGTCGCAAAATTTAATTATTACAGTAAAAAAATATGTCAATTCACATTATGCCACGAGATATTTCTAAATTATTACATAAAATTATTAAATCCTAGTCAAACTATTATTGAAACATTTTGTTAAACTTTAATTTGATACACAGTGCCTGTTAGTCGGAATATCAGTAATTGTGTATGTATTATTAGTCAAGTTGGGATATTGGTCAAAATACAAACATTGGTCAAATCCTATTAATTAAGTCAATAATAACAAAAATAAAATAAAAAAATATTGAAATTCACGAAAATATGTCAGATTACACATAATTAAATGTTTTACATTGAATATTGAACATTTAATCTTTGTCATTAAAAAAATCTTCTATAGTGTAATAGCATTTCTTATGCAAATAACGTTTGAGTTTACTTTTAAACATGTTGAAATGTAAGTCTTGTATGGATTTCGGTATTTTGTTATAAATCTTAGGACCTAAACATATTATGCTTTTGTGCAACAATGCAGTTCTGGACGGATGAATGCAAATATTATCTTTACGTCGATTTCTGACATGATATTCGGATAAGCGCGGAAACAAATGTAAGTTGCTTCTAACAAACAATGCAACTTCAAGTATGAATAAAGACGGAAGTGTTAGAATTTTGTGATCTCTAAATAGCGGTCTACAACTGTCCATACTTTTTATTCCGAACATAGCTCTTAAGCAACGTTTTTGTTGTTTGAAGACTATATCTTTGTGAGTGGAATTACCCCAAAAGATAATCCCAAACCTAAGTACCGACTCGACAAGGCCGTAATATGCTGTGAGTAAAGTTTCCCTATTAACAGTAGGTGCCAATTTGTAAAGGGCGTATGCTGACTTGCTGACTTTTTTACTCAGTCCGTCAATATGGTTTTTCCAATTAAGTTGCCTATCAATAATTAAACCCAAGAATCGACTTGTGTCTACTTCCTGTATAGTATATTCGTTATACATTAGATTAATTGGTAATGAATTTGGTATATTTTCCCGCTGTCTAAAGTGCATTATACTAGTTTTTTTTAAATTAATTTTTAAATTGTTATTATTAAGCCAGTCGATTATATTTGACAATGAATTATTTATTTCGAAATAGTAATTATTTATATGTTTAGATTTTATAGTTACGGTGCTATCGTCAGCGAAAAGAACCATAGGTTCTGTTGTAGCCGAAGGCAGGTCGTTTATGTACAATAAGAACAAAAGGGGACCTAATACACTACCTTGAGGAACGCCATAGGATACGTCACGCTTTTGAGATGGAAATGTCTGTTCCCTTTTAGTTTTTGGATTAAACTTTGTTATTTCTGTTATTTGTTGACGACCTGTTAAATAAGACCTGATTAATTCCAATACATTACCTCGTATACCGTATGCTGAGAGTTTTTCTATTAAAATATTATGATCTACGCAGTCAAAAGCTTGTGACATATCGCAATATATTGAGCAAACAGGCAAGGACTTGTCGACATGTGTGTATACATCGTACAAGAAGTCATATACTGCCATGTTAATATTATTTCCTTTTCTAAAACCCTTTTGATTATTACATAGAATCCTATGTTTTTCTAAATAACTATTGATTTCGGTGTATAAGTATTTCTCAAATATTTTAGAAAATATAGGTATAAGAGCTATTGGTCGGTAGTTCTCTATTAAAAATTTGTCTTCTTTTTTATGCAAGGGTTTTATGATAGTAAGCTTTAGGTCTTTTGGAAACGTACCATTTACTATACACAGGTTCAATATATGGCTTAAATGGCATGCAATACCCTTACCCACTGACTTAATTATTTTAGTGGGTATTCCATCATAACCGACACTATTTGTGTTTCTTAAATTATTTATAATTCTTAACATCTGAATCGGTAGACAAGGCGACATAAACATGGAGTTTGTATTGTGGCCAATCATTATCGTGGATTCTTTACCTGCACCAACGATAGGTTGTACTTTTTCAATAAAATGTTTATTAAATGCGTCCGCTATTTCTGTAGGATTTTGGATAAAAGCGTTATTAATTTTTATTTTATCTATCGAATCTTTTGGTACAGAAGTTTTGTTATTGTTAATTACTTGCCATGTTGATTTACTTCTATTAGTTGATGTATTTATTTTATAATTATTTTGAGCCCGTTTTGTTAAGGTTATAATTTTTTTAATTTTTTTTGAATAGTTTATATAATTCAATTTGTTTACAAGTGTGGGTTTACGCCTAAAATTCCATAGCATCTCTTTTTTCTTTTTAGAACACATTTTAATTCCACGCGATAACCATTTTGGTTTGTTATTTACTTTTATCAAAACTTTTTTTACCGGAAAACATAAGTCAAAGAATAGTTTAAATGTATCTATGAAATTACTATATGCTAGTGTTGGGTCATCAGTTTCGTATATTTCACTAAAAGACAAACTTTGTATACACGTTTTGAATTTTTGTATATTTACAACACTAAAATCTCGCGTGAACTTATACCATTGTTTTAATCTTAGCATTTTTTTGACCGGTATCCTAATTACTTGTGCTGTATGGTCCGACATGCCAAGTTCAAGTATATCAGTTACACATGGTTTCTGGGAATTATGAGCAAAATTATCTATACACGTGTTACTTAATTTTCTAGTAGGTTGTCTCAGCGCTAATTTTAAATTGTAATTCAACAGTAAACATTCAAAATCCAAAGTTACATTATTGCACTTTAATACATCAATGTTAAAATCACCGGCTATAATGGTATTATTGGATTTAATTTTAGAGATATGTACAAGAATTACCTCAAATCTTTGGAAGAAAATGTTCAAATTACCTTGTTTGGGTACTCTATACACACAGACAACAACAATTCCAAATTCTATCAATTCAATAGCACAACACTCGATAACATTGTTAATAGATAATTTGCTTATTTGAGAAAGTTCTCTAAACTTGTGTGTATTGTTGACAATTATGCAAGCTCCACCTCTTTTGATCTGGCTTCGACTGAAAGTGGCAGCAAGAGTATAGTTCTGCAGATTAAAAACTGTTTCATGACCGGCTAACATGAAATGTTCTGTAATACATAGTACATCAATGTCTATATTCCTATCTTTAAGCTCGTCTAGATGAATAGATAATATATCAGACTTATTTATAAGACCTGCAATATTCTGGTGTAGAATATTCAGGAATTTAATATCGAAAAAACAGAGAGTTACAATCATCTACAACAGCAGTGTCACTTTTGTTTAGTTTACATTTTTGTTGGAAGTTGGAATTTATATAGTTTATCAGCAATAGTACATTTTCAAAAATATTTCGAATGCCATTATTATTTATTACACCTGTTCGTAAGTTAAACATAGAACTATCAAACGTTAAATCATAGTTGGAATCTAAATAGAATGCATGTTCGTGCTTTATTAAGTCTAAGTATAATAGATTATTAAATGTCTCAATTCTCCAGTTGTAAAGATTGTTATAATTGGTAAGTTTGTACGTAGGAAAGCAAATTATGATGTTTGTGTGACTAACTTGTTTTAGTATTTTTCGAATTAAAAGTATGTCGTTGTCATAGTTGCTAGTTGTCTTGAAATCTTCTTCTCCAATTAATATAATGCAGTAATCAGTCATTGTATAATCACGCAGCTTTGTTTGTATCCCGTTAAGAAGTTGCTCCGTTGAACCATTAGGTGTTATGTAGTGACATATGTTGTATCTATCTAGTAGAAGCTTCTCAGCGGTCGATAGTATTCTATTTTTATTGTTAGTGCTTAGTATACATATTTTACTTTTCTGGACGACGGTAGGTGTTTCATTTTTATTGATCTCTAACGCTGAAGCTTTGATCGTGGGTTTTGTAGACCTAATTTCCGTGTTATTGGTATTAGTTGTCCACGTTTGTGTTTGCTTAGTTTCCAAATTGTGCTTTTTAGATTTTTTTGTTGGTGTATTGTATTTTTGTTTGATTGGACTACTAGTAATTTTACTGAGTACTTCATTCTTTTTCATTAAGTCCTCATTTGCTGTTCGTAGTTGAGAATTCTCAGCAGACAATAATTCAATTTCGTGGTGTGCACTTTGTAATTGTGATTCTAGATCCAGTAGCTTAGTCTTCAATAAAGTAAGTTGTTCATTTTCGTCTTGAGATAGTTCTGGCATACTATTGACGGTAGACTCAAGTGTGTCAGAGATTATATCGCTGTCATTGAGCGCTTAAGCTTATCATATTAGCTATCTAGAAAGAAAGAAAGAAAGAAAGAAAAACCATTTATGAAACCAAATGAACCAAATGACGCAAGAAACAAATACACACGAATGCAGCTTTAAAGGGACAGATTTATCTATGAGATCTACATTTAATTTTATTTTATTTATTACAGCAATCAAAAACAGTGGCCAAATTTTCGAATTCGATCGAGGAATCAGAGAGCAAAATATTTACCTTTAAAATGTTAGTGAAATGTAATTAGCGTTAAAATAAACATTGACACATTTACAAAATAAATTTTACAAACTGTCCGTTAGTAATTCCATCAGTACCTAAACTTAATTACGAAGTAATCGGATTAGCTACGTTTGGTTCGACTTTGCCAAACTGCACGTGCGCTTACTGACTATGAATAGGTACAGCAATTTAAGCGTCGAGCATTCAATAAAAGGATTTACGTTTGAAAAGAGAATGATCCGTAACGTTTTTTTCTTTCTTTTATTTTTAGAGCAATACGGTAGTTTCCTACTAGTCAAATTCAATACTTTTATCGAAACGTTAAAAACGATACTTTTCTATGAAATTTGTATGAAAAACTGAGTTATGACGTATTCACATTTTTGCGTGAAATAGCTTACTTATTTCATAATAATTAGCTAAAAAAAATTTAAACCTTAGTGTATCGGTCGATCGGTGAATAAAAGTATTGTTACTTTTCAACATTTTATTGTATTGAAACGTCGAATTCATTTATTTTTGACCTAGGAAACTACCCAATTTGATGTGTTTTCTGACTATTTCTAGACAGGGTATAAAGCGTGGGTTATGATGTTTGAATGAATGATCATGCTTTATGATGGCGGTTGTTTTTTTTTGTTTTTTTTTAGATTAAATCATGTAGTTTTTAACTAGTTCAATACCATACTTTTATTGAAATATCAAAAATGATATGTTCCTATGAATTTCTTATGACATTGCAACGTATTATAGTATGGCGTCATAATGTTTTCAAAAAGTCAAAAATAATTTATTCCAATTAGACCCTTACAGGACAGGTAGTTATAATGGGACATTCTTGAAAAAAATTCAGAAAAATATCAAGAACGAAATCTAAATTAATTTATATCATTAGATTAATTAATAAAAGTATTTTAATAATAATATATGTATTTTAATAAGCGATTCATTGTATCGAAAAGACAAAATTATTTACTTTTAGTGTAGGAAAGTATCCAGCTACAAGATTTTTACTTGTTAATAAAAGTCCCACACTCATTACACAACATTGAAACTTATGACACCTACGTGTGCAGTCATATCCAGTCAGCCATCTCCCACACATTACACTCAGGATTCTGTATTTTATTCATTATCATCATCATCAGCCTGTTGTCGTCCACTGCTGGACATACGCCTCCCCAATTGGACGCCACTGAGCTCGATGCTCAGCTCTTCTCATCCAACCACTGCCAGCCACCCTGCGGATGTCGTCAGTCCACCAAGCTGTATGTCTTAAAAAACATCCTATGAATTCGTATATTTACTATGAATTCCATAGTCAATTAGGCCGAAAATTGTCTGCAACAATATCTTGCTTACGACAGTTCTAGTTAAACTGACGATAAGAAATAATCTACACGATAATGTACTCTTCATTTCCACAGCATTCTTCAAAAGGCCCATCGCAAGAAGCATATAGAAATAAACTGCGTAGACTCGTTAGGTCGTGGAGCCCTTACATTGGCTATCGATGGCGAAAACTTGGAGATGGTTGAATTACTGGTCATCATGGGAGTTGAGACCAAGGATGCTCTACTCCAGGCCATCAATGCTGAGTTTGTTGAAGCTGTTGAACTTCTGTTGGAACATGAAGAGCTGATTCACAAGGAGGGAGAGCCTTACGTGAGTATATTGATTTTGATATACACTTAAATTTGCTGCACTTTTTTCTGCGAACTGCTATCGTCATCACCTTTTAAATTCTCCTAATCACAGAGTTGGCAGAAAGTGGATCCAAACACGGCAATGTTTACACCAGACGTGACACCACTAATGCTGGCTGCTCATAAGAACAACTATGAAATCCTGAAGATCCTGCTCGATCGCGGAGCCACGTTGCCAAACCCTCATGACGTTAAGTAAGTTAATGATGTAAGATATAATAAAATAATAGTACTTGAAGCCACGGTTGGTGGCCAAGGATGTGGTCAAGCGCTATAATATAACACAGCCTGGAGCAGGAAAAGAAACGATATGGTCTCTAGTATTTCAAAGTCTGACACTACATTTCGTCCCACTGGGGGTGAGGGAACAGTCTCTTGATGACACAAACGACAATACCGTCCCATTAAAAAAAAAGTTTTGGTCAGTATGAACCAAAATTTCCTTATTCATCCCAGTCTTAGTAGACCACTGGTATCTAGGTGTAGATTTGGATGGGATCTATATAAGACAATAAAAAGTGCCATAAGTATTATCTAATCTAGCCTTATTAGGAGAAATTTCATCTTGAAACGTTCTCATGTTAAGGCAGTGCTATTAAGTCAATGAACCAGTTGTTGAAAGCTTTTTTCTGCTTTTACGTTACTTTATTATGAGCATCATATTGACTATTTTAAATTTATTCCCTTTTAGATGTGGTTGTGAGGAGTGCATCCGTGAGTCTACCGAGGACTCTCTTCGTCATTCGTTGGCTCGACTCAACGAGTACCGTGCCTTAGCATCACCTTCTCTTATAGCCTTGTCTTCCACTGATCCCATCTTGACAGCCTTCCAGCTTTCTTGGGAACTCAGGAACTTGGCATTTGCTGAACAGGTATAATATACCTAATCTTCTATTAAATCTCAAACTTTTTTTCATTCTTGGTTAAAAACGTTACTTCTTTATCTAGGAAAGTAAATCCGATTACTTGGAACTTCGGCGTCAAGCGCAAATGTTTGCTGTTGACCTTCTCGACCAGTCGCGAAGCTCTCAGGAACTGGCTATTATTCTGAACCATGATCCCGACGAACCAGCCTTTGTGGATGGAGACCATATGAAACTGGCGAGGTTGGAGCTTGCTATCGATTTTAAGCAGAAAAAGGTAAATATATTTTTAATAAATTAAAATAAATTGAAATTGGAGATGATTTTAAGATCAAATGAGGAAAAATAAATGTTTATGGGTTAAGTTACATATTTTATGATAGATACAAGTAGACCATGTTCATTAGTAAATCCTGATTGAAAGAGTGTCTGTCATTTTATTACGAGTAGGTCATCTCAGATATGCAAACAAATGCAACTGTCTAATGAAGTCTATGAATAATAGTAGTATTATTGATCGAAGTTAAGAAGTGATATTGTTCTCATTAAGGCAACAGGTAGTCATTCAATATTATTGTTTCTACCGCCAAAACTATGCTTTTCAATAGCATCCAAATTAATTTACCTTAATTCTTTTCACCAGTTCGTAGCCCACCCAAACATCCAACAGCTGTTGGCCTCGATCTGGTACGAGGGCGTTCCTGGTTTCCGTCGCAAGACTGCCATGGAGAAGATTATGATCATCTGTCGAGTCGCCTTACTCTTCCCCTTCTACTGCACCTTGTATATGATCGCCCCCAACTGCGCCACCGGCAAACTCATGAGAAAACCGTTTATGAAGTTCTTGATCCATGCCTCTAGTTATCTTTTCTTCTTGTGTAAGTTTCTTTTTATTATTTTCTATAATGTCTTGTCATGATATACATTTGTTCTTTTAAAGTAAGTGATCTGTAATCGTGTTTTAGATTTTCTCTTTTGATCAGTTTTGATGTTTGGTGTTTTGCGGGGAAAATATCTTCGACGTTACAAGCTTCAGTTACAATTGACTTTATAAGAAATGTAAATTTTACTTCTTTCTTTTGTTTGCGGTTTCTTATTTCTGAACCTTTTTAACTTTAATTTGTGGTTCACAGTGATTCTGATCTTGGTATCACAAAGAGCGGAGGTGCAAGCGATACAACTGTTTGGTCCAGAGTGGATGGTGAAAGAATTGGAAAAAGAACTTCTCAAGCAGAGAGGAAATGGTCCTACGTATTTGGAATTAGTCGTCGTGGTTTATGTCTTAGGTGAGTTAACAAAATAAATAGATAAATATAATATTAAAAGTCATAAATATAACGTCTACGTCTCATAGTAAAGCTAATAATAATACTTGTAAAAAATATGCAATAGTGATAATGTGTTTTTGTTTTAAAGTTTCTAAGAAACCCCAAGGTTTTTGATAATAATAAATTATCTTATAAATGAGATTATGTTAAAAATGAAAAGTAAATCTCTGTTTAGCTATTTGCGGAATTAAAAGCCCACACAAGATTTTTCTGTGAGAGTTTACAAACAATTTTCAATTTACCATTTACATCGCACCCACACCCGCATTATTCATAACATGAATTCTACAAAGCAGATTATTTCATTATTCTAGGTTTCATATGGGAAGAAACCCAAGAGATCTACATTGAAGGTATCCGCTCATACCTTCGGAACATGTGGAACTTCATCGACTTTACCAGGAACTCCCTCTATGTGGCCGTGGCTGTTCTAAGGTTCGCCGCCTACATCCAGCAGACCACTGAGATCAGGAGGGACCCTCAGACCAAGTTTATTCCAAGAGAAAACTGGGATGCTTTTGACCCTCAACTCATTGCTGAAGGGTTGTTTGCAGCGGCTAATATTTTCAGGTATGCTTTTGTTTATTTATACTACACATAACAAGTTTCCACCTGCGGCTTCGCCCGCGTGGTATGTGGCTTCTTTTTATCAACATACCACGCGGACGTACATACAGACGGAAGCTAGTAAGATATAAAGGAAAAAACTTTATATCTTTAAAATTTTGTTTGACGTTCAAAAGTGCCTCAAAGTCAAAAACATTTATTTCAATTAATTAGTATGGGTCTAATTGAAATAAACGATTTTGACTTTGACTTTGAACTGAATGATTAGAAAAAATATTACTTAGATTAAAATTTATTGTTTTAATATCATTTTAGATTTGATTATTAGGTTTGCATATGATATTAGTCACCTATCCGCAACGATACGAATCTCCATGGATGTACATGTTTATTTCGTACATGAAAGGTTTAATAAGCCTTATCTTATATATAAAAATGGATCGCAGAATGTGTTGGTAAGCGCATAACTCAACAAAGCCTGGGCCAATTTTGCTAATTATTTTTTGTTGTATTTGTTATTGTCAGGAGAAGGTTCTTATCAAAGAAAATATTCGAAAAGTAGAGGGGAAGTTTAGAAAAAATTGACCCTTTGATAGCGAGATAGTTGGACCCGTGCGAAGCGGGGGCGGGCAGCTAGTGTTTGATAAAATTGCTGTTTTATATTAACTTTTCTCTCATGAGTTTGTTCTCTTATTAACTAACTTTAGATCACCAGTTGTCAAACTTAATTTGCCATGATTTGATTTCACATCTTTTTTATTGTATACTTTGTGATTTTTCTCACTAGTGCCTTGAAGTTGGTGCACTTGTTCTCCATCAACCCTCACTTGGGACCGCTGCAGATCTCCCTCGGCCGCATGGTCATCGATATCGTCAAGTTCTTCTTCATCTATAGTTTGGTGCTGTTTGCCTTTGCTTGCGGTAAGTGATATTTTTATATTCTTAGTCTTTAAGGATTCTTTTGTATCATGTGATAATTCATAATTAACTGTTTTTTTTTTGACATTGTACTTTTATGGAATGCTTTTGGTCAACTGGCTTTGTAGGAATTATCGTGAGACGTACTAAATGTATTGAAAGTAACGAATCGCTCACGTGAATTGAGAAAAGCTGAGAGTCCCGCTGTGACTTGAAACTAGTAGAGCTTTTCACAGTTAATTTACGTGAGTAGCTCGTATTTTCAATAAGGGAATTCATTATTACTGACATTTTATATTTGAATTAAAATCTAGTTTTAATGTTTGGCACTATATCAAAAACCTAGGTCTAAACCAACTACTGTGGTACTTCGCGGACTTGGAAAAACGTAAATGCTACGTATTGCCTGGAGGTCTACCTGATTGGGATAATGCTGGAGACTCTTGTATGAAATGGAGGAGTTTTGGAAAGTCAGTTAATGATAGATCTTAGTAGCGCTTGTTTTAAGCTTTTATTTGTAGTATACTTTGGTCGCTATTTGATCCTTCAGGGTAAATAGAAATAATATCCCCGTTTTGTAATTATTGGGCATTTTGTATGTGTTGAGAGTACGAACATAATTGTAATCACAGTCACAGTCAAATAGCGTGATGGGCTGATGTTGATTGAAACGTGCTTAATTAAAGGTTCCACTTCCCACCCAACTTAATTCGTAACTTACCTGAGTGCGCATGTCGACACGTTGCCACGACAACGTAATACACAGTTTTGTCAATTTCTCATAGTAATAGTGTCAACGAATTTTGGATGATATTTATTTTTTGAAATTATTTGGTTCTTCATATGTAAAAATGGGTGAAGCTCAGTTTGGAGTACGCCATGTCATCGGGGCTCCCGTAGCCATCACCAGATTGTCGGAACAGGCCATAGTATGTATTCCACCTCGTTCGGCCAAATTCACAATCGACGAGTGGAAGTTAAGTAATGAACAGAGATGCAGGAACACGGAGGATCAACAGCAGTTAGCTGATAGAGTACTCGGCGAGTCCAATCGAGTTCGAGAGGAGACCCATGAACGTGCTAACATCTTGAAAGCTACAACTGACAGGCGGATTGAGGAACGCATCGGTGACATTGAATTTAACAAGAACGAGTTACAAATCCAGCGCAAAGAAATATGTTTGGAGCTAGAAGCTCTATCCGTGTACAAAACACGTCTCTTAGATTGTCTTGCTTCACTCCAAGCTAACGCTTTAACTATTTGCCGCAAATGTCTTATGCTTAGAGATGGACGTATCGGCATTGACCTGGTCGTCGACGAAGTGGAATCAGCTCTGCAACAAGAGATTACAACCATTCAAGGAGGACAAAGCTTGCTGAAGCGAGTGTTGGAGCAGTTAAACGAGCAGATGCGGCGCCTCCGATCCACGCGCTATCTTCTTGACCGTGACTTACAGTATAAACAAGCAGCTATTGATTTGGATAAAAGCAATCTTTCTCTGAAACATACTGATTTATGTCTCTCTGTATACGAAGGCTACGCTAGCTTGGATCCAGCGAACATATCTGCCGATGAGTACAATGCATATTCTGCGAAAAATATACAAATGGCAGCAAGAGAGGTGACGAGCGCGCGACCAATACGAATGTATGTCGATACAATCCTAAAGCAAGTGATTGATGACCTTTGGAATGCTTATAACAAATGCAATCATGCTTTTAATGAGCGTATAGAAGATACAAAGCGAGCTAAAAGTAAACTTGAGGATATGCACCGAGAGACGACTCAAAAGATTTCAGATATGCAGAACAATATCTTGCAACTGCAGAAGGCTTTGGCTGATAAGGAAGGTCATACTGCTTTGGCTCATACAAGGCTTGGAAAACGGGCACAAAGAGTAGGAGCTGAGTTGGTGAGGGATCCTCCTGGGCAGGCTTTGTTTTATGAATGTGAGATGTTGCGACACAGCACGGAGCAACTGCAACAGATGCTTCATGAGGCTACATCTTCCCTGCGATACCTGTTACAGACTCAGATACAGCTGGAGGAGGATATTAACGTGAAGATGAACACTTTGAAGATTGATGAAGTGGATTGCATGACTTTGAGACAGACGATGGATTATCACGCGTATTGAGATATTTGATAGGGCAGCAAAAGTTACTGCAGCCGTGAATGTTATTGCCATAAAGTTACAAGACTAATGTGCTTAATAGAGATACAAGGCTGCAATAGTTTAAAAGTGTTCAAAAGTGTAGTTTTGTTTATGTTTTGTACAATTATTTAACGAGGATCGATGAATGTGAGGATTAGGGCGTCAGTGCTATTGTAATAAAACTAATCGATATTTCTTTTGCGGCTATAAAAGTTGAAAAACTCGTCCATGAAGAATTTAATTTTTTATATTCTAAACCTTTTGTTGGTTTTTATAATAGTGTTAAAGCACATTTAATGTAGAAGTTTTGAATAAAAACTTTTATTTGTAGATTAACTAATGCTATTTAAAATTGTTTTATAACTCTACTTAATAAATTGTTGGAACTGAAACTATTTTGTGGTGTCCTTATTATATCATGTCGGCTAGAGTTTTTGTGTTTAAAAAGTGGATTTGCTAGTTAGAGCTATTTTATCTTCATTTAAATTCTTATGTAAATATTTTGCTGCACGGTTGGCGTGGTGCGGTGGTTGAACAACTGGCGGCCACGCAACGTGTCGCGCGTTCGATACCCGCACGGAGCAACTCTGTGTGATCCACAAATTGTTGTATCGGGTCTAGGTGTGATGTGTATGTCAAATTGTATGTTTGTAAACGCACCTACGACACAGGATAAAATTCCAGAGTGGGACAACGTTTTTAAAAAAAGACAAATATTTTCTTTCACGGTATATTAATAGAGTACTATGCCAGTATTTAGTAAATTTTTTAGTAAAGAGGAAATCAGAATGGTATCAAATACTTATTTGAGTTATCATTTTCAGACTTCAAGTAGAAAATAATTTGTTTATTTTTCCACCAGCGTCTTCGAAGCCTCACAGTCTCTATTTTGGGCGTCTTTCGGCATGGTTGGTCTTGAGAACTTCGAGTTGGCCGGTATTAAGAGCTATACACGGTTTTGGGGCCTGCTAATGTTCGGCTCATACTCCGTAATCAACGTAATCGTGTTGTTGAACCTCCTTATCGCTATGATGTCCAACTCTTACGCAATGATTGATGTAAGTATCTCTTTTATTATCATCTAATAGCGGTCGCCCACGGCTCCGCCTGCGTGAATGCTGATTTTACAATTTTTCAATTATTTTTCTTAATTTTTTGTACCTGCAAACCTTTGCCAGACCAAAATTAGCCTAATCGGTAATGGCATTGTTGAGCTTTTACAACATTACAACAAAAAGTGGCATTGATTTTTAAATATATAGATTTGATAAAACATATTAATGTTGGAAATGCGTTACAGGCGAACTTTAAGTTATAAATACCAGTTTTTAGACAGGTTGCCTCAAGGTAATGGAAAATTACAAGTGCGTTGCCCTCTTTTGATAATTGTTTGGGATTTGAGGATTGGGAAATTGGGGTTCAGAGCTAGGGGAGGGAAAGGGCCTTTTGCAAACTCAGCCATAAGACGTCGTGTCACTCCGGTCGAGCTGGCTAATTCGTTCTGAAGCATGGCATTTTAAGATAGCCTCGTAATATATGATCTAACTTAAGAAATTGCTTTTCTCTTAATGACTTTGTTTTCTCAGATAGGTAAAGTGTTGCAATTATTCGTGAAAAATATCGAGTACAAATTGAGAATATTATTCGTGTAAAATATTTATTAAATATACTGGGTAGGTCTGGTTCTTATGGGTAAGTTTAATAATAGCAAAACTTATATAGCAAAATAGATGAGATAGCATCGGTGTAAAGTCTTAAACAGTTTTGACCAAATGTTAGTTCTCTGGATCATTCTTGCTGCATGCTGATAGGGTAAAACCACTTTACAAAATAATTGTTAATAGACTTACTATTAACAAATATTGACTAGTGAAATCATGCAACTAAATATTTGAAACAAATATTTTTCAACTGAGTTTAGTTCCGGGACACTTTTTGATACACATGACATAAGCTTGTTTCTTTTTTATTAAATTTTTTATTAAAGCTAGCCCTTACCCGCGGCTTCGCTCGCGTTATTTCCCGTTTTCCCGTCTACACTTCTCATCTACCCTAACTACGTACTCCTTTTTTTATCAGGGGAAAATCATCAAATGACCTCTCCCGCCCAAGGAAGGTGAGAGAGAGAGTGTCAGACTCTTACTGACTAAAAACACCCCGTTCCTTCTCCTGCTCTGGACCGAGGCCGCGGTGATTCATTGCGCTTAACCCGCAACCCCGGTACCCTATCTACTTACCCTACGCTACCAACCCTACTCTGCCTACCCTTTTCTACTTTCCCAACACTATCTATTCTGGCCTATCCTATGTCTTTCTGCGGTTTCTTAACTATCTCCATACCAATTTACAGCAAAATCGGTTCAGCCGTTCTTGAGTCATAAATAGAGAAACGAACACGACTTTCTTTTTTAAGTAAGTATACATTCCGTCTCATATTTTTAAGCCAATGTTTGCAAAACTTAGCTAACTAACTATACGTTTCAAAGTTTTAATTTGACTGCATGAGGAAGAATGTAGGAACTTACTGTGTTTTATTAGTTACAGCAAGAAAATGATTTGAAAAGTTTAACGATATAAAAGTGTTGTGTAAATTTTAATGTAGTTGAATTATAACAATATTGTAGGTATTCGTTCTTGCTCTTTTTGCATATCCTATTTATAATACGGGCACGTTTCGTGAGTATGGATGTATGTTTGGTTACTCTTTCATGTAAAAACTACTAAGTGAAACTGAATGAAATTTAGTATAGAGATAGATAGAGAGGAATTAAGGTAGGTACCGTGGCCTCGGCCTGGAGTAGGAGAAGGAACGGGGAGGGGGGAGGGTAGTCAGTAAGATTCTGACACTCCCTCACACGCCTCACCCAATGCGGGAGAAGTCATTTGATGATTTCACAAAAAAAAAACGTAGAGATGGATAAATAGTCTGTATTAACACAGGCTACTAGTAGGTATGTATTACAAAGTGAAAAAGATATGATGTATAAGAGTACATATAAGTAAGAAAACTACCAAATTTAGTATCCAATAAAAAAAATGGCCCTGTGGTTATCGTTCTTTACGAAAATAAATAATTAAGTTGAATCTTTACCACGTTTACTTGGTTATTTTGTATAAAAATTGCGCCAAAATAAGGTTTTCATGAAATTATCAGATTTCATGCCGATTTCAATCCGCCTTACTATCAACGATTGCATAACAGCTTACCGCAGTCAAGCACTAGTTTATAGCAAGTAAAAAAAAAATCCTGTAAACAAAAATAAAGAAATATTAATGTTTTTTTTTTGCTTACTGGCTTTATTGTCTAATTGCAGTTTTTTTAATCAGATAACGTATAAGATAAAGAAGATCTAAGAAATCTAAGAATTAAATCTAATAATTATACCTACTAAAAATAAGCTCTAAGATTCTATTTATAAAATATAATATTTTTTTAATTACTTTATATATAATTTATCAATTTTACTATAAAATTTAATAAAAAGCAAAAAGAGAACTGCCGAAACCCGGGATTGAACCGGGGACCTTTAGATCTTCAGTCTAACGCTCTCCCAACTGAGCTATTTCGGCTGTGAGTGGGGTGCTGAAATTGTAAGTCATTCTCTGCAAAATAAGTTTGTAATTCATTCTAACGTGTTACAATAATATAAAAATGAGGTTGTCTAGGCATATTATCATTATAATTTTCAATTAACAGGAAAAAATTGATCTACGTAAGGTAGGTAAGGTTATTCTGATGAAAATAATTAGTCAGGATTTTGTAAAAAATAAAAAATAAAAAACCTTAATACCCAGTCTCGTATTGGGAATTACATTTTGGCTTTGTTGTTCAATTTTTAACAAATTAAAAACGAGTGTTGGGTCATTGACCCCAGATTAATTTGTATTTGATTTCATAGACAGGTTAACATTTGGTCAAATATGTTTTGTTGCGTTTTTTTGCTATAATAAAAACTTAAGGAGCTTAATTTTGTTAAAAATTCGGATATGATATTGTAGCCATTACGTTATCTACCTATATTTGATTTTATAGATAATATGCTGCCCTTTTTTATGTTGCTAAGTGAAAAAGTTAAGGCGCTCAATAATAAAATATTTAATATACCTAGATATTGTAGCCACTTGGTACATTGTTACATACGCAGAAAATTATTTGTTTGAATCCAATTAAAGGCATTGTAAGGTTTCCTTTACGTTTCGTGCGGCACGTTATTCATTGCTCATAATGTTCATATATTCGGGTTGGCGTGGGCGTTGACGTGAACTGCAGCTGTAATGTAAGTACAGCGAATACGCGTCTATGTAAACGTGGCCTTAATTTTACAGTAAAAAGTGAAAGTGTTGAATAGTGTTATAAATTCAATTCACATATAAAAAATGGTATGTCAGTCATGTTTAAAAACGTCACGATAATCCCAACTATATCTAGATAGTTTGAAAATAGGTCAAGGTGAAGTTTTGACTTCGAAAATGTAAGTTTGTTTTAAGTTGTATAAATATAGTGTAGGTTTGTTAACTGAAATTTAATATCTACATTTTTTGAAATACCATTGAACTTGGCATTTATTTAGAACGAATTTCTTTTGTCGTTGAAATCAAACAAGCTGTACCTATTTTGTAATGTACAATTTGGACTTCATTTAATTATTATGTTTCGGATGGGACACCTTATAATAAACACCATTGTTTCTTGAAGCCAGCTTCGGCACGAATGGGTCGGTTCGACTGGAGTGATAGACCACGGCTGCACGAAAAAACCGGCGTAAAACGACCACAGCGGTCTGCCTATAAGTGCCCACTGCTGAGCAAAGGCCTCTTCTCAAACGGAGAAGGCTTGAGCATTAATTACCACGCTTGCTCAAATGGGTTGGCGATTTCAAACTTATAATTAGAAATTATAAGTCCAGCTTTCCTCACGATGTTTATGTCAATGGCGTCTAAATCTTAGAAAGTACATATAACTCGGAAACAATCACATCGGTACTTGCCAGGTTTCGAAGCCTCGTGACTTCGATGCATTAGAAGCATGCATGAGAAGCTGGCTCCTTAACCTCCGGACCACCACGACATTTCTCCTCATCCTCATCCTCTACCCCCATCGCTCCCCAATCCCTAAATTTCCGAAACGCTAATTCTCTAAAGGCCGGCGAAATTCTTGTTAGGTTAGCCGTCTGGTTGTTTGCCGATTTATCATATATAAACAAACATAATTAATTATTTATAACACTTTACTAAGCAATATCTTTTTCCCTAATCTAGGAACACTCAGATGTGGAATGGAAGTTCGCTCGTACTCGGCTTTGGATGAGCTACTTCGAAGAATCTGCCACATTGCCACCTCCTTTCAATATTCTTCCGACTCCTAAGCTTCTACTCAAGATGCTGGGCCTTAGGAAGAAGGATAAGTTGAGGAAAATGAAGACGAAGGTCAGTCCAAAGTTATTATGGCGTATCTTAAAATAGTTATCTGGTTTGACTTTTTTACTTTTTACACACAATTTTCAGTGATTTCGGAGTAAGTACCACTTGAAGACAGTTTTATTTTTGGGTAAAAATCTTTTGACTAACAACAGAAACACGGCATTTTATTATTTCCCTCTTAGGAAAATAAGTTTTGGAAAATAGCTTTTTTTTATTTCTATAACTCTCTCCCCAATCTCATTCTCGACTGGTGATAAACGATGATGTGACCTACGATGGCGCCATACCTTAGCGAACCTTTTCACTCGTGGCTTGAAGAAACCCAGGTTTTTGCCCATCAGTGTACGTAGTCTCTCAATAAAATGTTGGAAGCGAATCGGTTCACTTTTGGTTGCATTATCTATATTATATCGTCATTAGCTACGACAATTTACGTACCTTCCCACAAGGATTTTGTGATTTTAAAACATTAAAATTTAAAAAGATCAAATAAATAATCAAAAAAACCTTTGTAATTTATTATCTGCCTAAAGTTGCTATTTCAAATTCAATCGTATATGTTCATAAAAATCTTAGTATTACAATGAACTGTAACAATCCAAACTGTGAATAGGAAACTAATGATAGAATATGTTTTTTTACCCAACTGTCTGAAAGTAAAAAGTTTATTGAGACGTGCTATGGAAGTATTCAACTAGAACTAACTCGGGATTCGAGTTTGTGAATATAAAATCCAATATGTGACTAGCTAGATAGGTCAAAACTTTATTCTTACAATTTGAAAATAAAATCATGCGAATTTCTTTCTTGTCTTCTTAAGTATTTATTCTAGGAAGTTACTTAATTGGTATTTTGATTCCTCCTCACTAGTTCGGCCATATTAAAAGTTGAAAGACATTACAGTATTACTGTAAGTGCCTACTGAGCACCCTTGGCCCCTTCTCACGCCGTGAAGGATTGAACTGTAATCTCGATGCTTGCTCAAGGTGGATTGGCGATTTAAAACTTATAATTAGCAATTGTCAGTGTAAGGTTTTCTCACGATGTTTTTCTTCGACGTATGTCATATGGTGTATAAATAATCTTAGAACGTGCATATAACTCGGAGAAATTCCTATTAGTGTTTACCATTGTCCGTGATACAACACGGTAATTTACTTCAACGTTAAATATGTAACAAGTTTTTTAAAAATGTCTTCATAAAACCAGCAAAAAATAACAACGTTGGCGTTCAATACTTTACTGTTTTAAGGGATTTAACGCGCACGTACCTTTTATTTGTTTTTTACTTGACGTTTCGGCCGGCTAACTCCTGCCATGGTCACAAGCTAAGTCCCGTAAAACAATAAAGTATTAATATGCAACGTGAAAGTTGAAAGTTGAATAGGGATAACCAAAACCTCTCGTCCACCAGGAACAAAAAGAGAAGGAACACGATGTGCGGTACACAGCTGTGATGAGAGCTCTAGTATGGCGATACGTGTCGGCCATGCATAGGAAGATGGATGATGAGGCAGTCACAGAGGATGACATCAACGAGCTCAAGGGAGATGTGTCGGCCTTGAGATATGAACTGCTAGAAGTATTTGAGAAGAACGGCATGGATGTCAGCTTCACTGATAGGAAGGAGAAGAGTGAGTATTGGAGGATGAGGAAAAATTATGGGAAAGTCAAAGAATTTCTGTTTAGGGCTTATAAGTTAGAGAATACTTTTAATATGAGAATCACACCATGTTTGCAAGGGGGAGGGAAAATGAACAGGGGAGTACGAGTATTTTCATAGTACACCTAAGTTACAAGTTACGGGATTCGACAAATCGATTGTTTTATTTAGTAGCAAACGCCTCCCGCGTTTGGCTGTCATACCTGGTGGTAAGAGGTTATACGACCTTACTAGAAGCACGCCTATCCATAAGCAACTTATTACCATAGACTCCTGAAATGAATTCCACTACATAGCTTCTGATAGGCGAAATTTTCTTATCTAACTTAATTGCTCTCCTTTTTATTGATATATCTTAGATTGTTAGTCCTATCGCCAAATAACAGGATTTTTGATTAGACATGATAATAATTTGAAACCTCTTTGGCATCATTATAGTCAAGGTCATATTTTAAACCAAACCAATCAACTAAGCTTAGTGACCCGATATATATAATATTAATTACATATCCATGTAACTAATTTTCTTTGCAGTGGTTCTTGGCAAACGTATGAAGGTATGGGAGCGTCGTTTGATGAAAGACTTCCACGTGGCCCCGGTGTCCTTGGATGAAGAGAAGCCGGCGGATGAAGATGGACTGTCCAGGTTCAGAAGGATCGCCAAGTTGGCAGTCGCAAGCACTACTAACGCCAAATGGGATCAAACGCTTGCCAGTACCGGGATTTCGTGAGTTATTTTTAATGTTCATTTAAGGTGCTTTCTCATTAAGCAAATGCTTACGTGGATATATATGACATTATGTTTCTGTGCAAGCGAATTGAATTGGAAACAGGAATTTGTTTAACTTGCAGTTTGAACACAATATTGTAATAGCATATGTGCAGTGTTTCTAGTTGTATAGGCTTTTTGGTTAATAGAGACAATCTTTTTATGATATTCTTCGATGGATATTATTTGTATTATTACAAATTAATACTCAATAAGCAATATCTGTATTGCTTTCCCCTTTGTACTTGTTTTCGTATCATAAAGGAGGTAATAATTTGTGTGAGATCATTTATGTATCCTGTAGAGCACAAAAAAAGGGTAACAGGTCAATCTGAGATAGTATATGTTCCGTCCTAGAATAAGGTTTTTAACAAGAAGGCATTACTATGGATATGAATTCAGAACCCATGCTATAAATATGAATTTAAAAAAAATAATATAATAAATTTGTTCAGATCTCAGATCGGTCGCTGTCGCAGTAGAGAGTCGTTCAAGAATCAGCAGAACTTGCAGCGAGCTATGGAGGAAGCCAGGAAGCTGGTACTTCGCTCGCCATTACCAGGTGAACCTATTGAGAACCAATTGGTATCAATAAAACTAAATATAAAACATAAAATTCTACAGATCACACAATAGCTTTGAAAATACCTCGAATTTAACTAAAGACAGTTTCAAAAAGTTGAAGGTTAAATACGAACTGAGTGCTATCTGCCAGTTAAACAATATTATATTAATCACATCACATCACACCATCAGCCTATAAGAGCCCACTGTTAAGCAAAGGCCTCTGACACGGAAAAGGTTTGAGCATTAATCACCATAATTTCTCAAGGTGGATTGGCGATATCAAACTTTACAATAGATAAGTCTTTTATATAGGTTTCCTTACGATGTTTTCTTTCACCGCATGTTAATGGTGTATAAATAATCATGGAAAGTATATATAACTCAGAAAATGATTTTTAAAACAAATTTCTTTTTAAAAGTGGCGAATAAGCGAATCCATTACTCATTTAAACTCAAAATAAGGTCAGCAGTAAATTCTTATTTAAGGAAAATGCATACTAAATTAAGTTTATAAAATAATGAAAACAGAGATAAAAAAGATCTGGATATTGGTGCCGCTATGTCGTGTCCATTTGCCAAAAACAAAAATAATCATTTGGCACCAACCAACATTAGCACACATCCCGATGTTAAAGTTGCAGATAGCTCGAAACTTCGAACATTCTTTTTCCGAGAAAAACTTCTTAAGTGCTTTATGCTAAGCAATTAACATATTCAGTTAATGTTATTATATTTTTTATCTGTATCCTAATGCAGCATATTAACTATGGCAACTTTTACTTTTAACTTTTTTTTTGAGATTTTCTGTTTAACTTAAAAAAAAATACGAATTAGAAATTATTCAAATATGGAATCACTATCGTAAAAAAAGAAAACTTTGCATGTTTGAATTGAGAACCTCCTTTTTTATAGTTTGAGTATATTCGCATATAGCGAAATAAAAACGCAGATTTATTTTAGTACCGCGTCGTCTCAAATTTGCATGAAATCATAGAAATATTTTTACGTGATATTTTATCGATAATAATCAACGAGATATTCAAGGACCGCTGCTGCTGACCGCTGCCTACGTAGAAATGCAAACTACGTAGTCAAACCGGCATCATTATTATTATCAAATACTTCTTCACCATTTTATTGGACCTCAAAATCTTTAGTTTCCTGTGGCAATTTTTTTTTAAAGGTATAAGTCGGCAAACGAGCAGACCGATTACCTGATGGTAAGCAATCAGCGCCGCCCATGGACACCCGCAACACCAAAGGAGTTACGAGTGCGTTGCCGGCGTCTTGGGGATAAGGGTTGCGTATGTAAGGATCGGGAAGGGATAGGGGAAGGGACGGTATTGGTCCTCCGGTAACCTCACTCACACGGCGAAACACAACACTGTGGGTTGTTTCACGCCGGTATTCTGTGAGGCCGTGGTATCACTCCGGTCCATTCGTGCCGGAGCTTGGGTTTCCCACACTTAAAGTATTATTATTAAAAAATATAATTAAACATTGTCACTTCCTAATTGGCATGTCAAAATTTTTCCGAACCGCATATACCGCCAATTAAGATAAACGTTCCCTAACTAAATATCCCTTGGCTAGAAGGTTCAAGAGTGGGGACTCCGATTGAGATGCCCATCAGTCCTGGACACACTCTTTTGGAGCTGATCAAGGATTTCTCCACGGAAGTGGGGGAGACAGAGGCTGAAGGAGCCGCCACGTCACCTCCGAAGTCACCTTGGAAACCACCAGGTAAGTTTGACATTGAATGATTTGAGTTTGGAACGTGTTTTTGTGATAGTGGTGATTTAAGAAAGTTTCGTTATAATGAACTTGATATAAATTTGATTATTAATAATATAAATTTTATGATAAGAAATATTAAATTTAGCTACGACAAACTACATGTTTGTGCACAGAAAATTAAAATAGTTTTTAAAGCTAATTGTTGGGGACAGAATGAATTAGAGAGAGAGAGAGAACGAGAGAGAGAGCGAGAAAGATAGGGATAGATATAGCAACAGAGAGAGAGAGAACGAGAGAGATAGAGATAGAGATAGAGATAGAGATAGAGATAGAGATAGAGATAGAGATAGAGATAGAGATAGAGATAGAGATAGAGATAGAGATAGAGATAGAGATAGAGATAGAGATAGAGATAGAGATAGAGATAGAGATAGAGATAGAGATAGAGATAGAGATAGAGATAGAGATAGAGATAGAGATAGAGATAGAGATAGAGATAGAGATAGAGATAGAGATAGAGATAGAGATAGAGATAGAGATAGAGATAGAGATAGAGATAGAGATAGAGATAGAGATAGAGATAGAGATAGAGATAGAGATAGATAGAGATAGGGATAGAGATAGAGAGCTATTATAAAACTGATCTTTTTAAACTGCAATTTTGCGATAATATTCTCTGCCGAGGTTACGTAATAATGCAACGTGATCTCGGTCCGGAGAAGGAGAAGAAACGGTTTTAGTTAGTAAGAGTCTAACACTTCCTTCTCACTCCACCCAAGGCGAGAGATTACTTCCCCTTCGATGATTTTTTTATTTGGAGTCTATTCATGCGATATTGGCGATGCTGATGATAATTCCTCGTTTAGGAGAAGAAGGTGGTGGTGGTGGTATGGCTACAGGTGCTCTTCTATCAGCAATGGACGCTCGCAGTAGACCAGTGTCTCCCAAACCTGCAACCCCTGCGTCTGCCACCCCAGTGCCTGCTGCATCACCAGCTCGAGCTCCTGTGCCTGTGAAGGTAAGTCTAGTCTTCTTATATATAAAAATGCAAAATTTGTTGGTAAGCGCATAACTCAACAATGCCTGGACCAATTTTGCTAATTATTTTTTTGTTGTGTTTGTTATTGTCAGGAGAAGGTTCTTATCAAAGAAAATATTAGAAAAGTAGAGGGGAAGATTAGGAAAAAGTGACCCTTCATTAGCGAGATAGTTGGACCCGTGCGAAGCGGGGGCGGGCCGCTAGTTATTAATAAAAGCAGTGGTAGATACCTAATGGTGGTGGGTATTAAAAATATAACACTGAGCTTTTCTCACACGGAGAAGGTTCGACCATCAATCACCTGCTGTGCTTAAAGCGAATTGCCGAATTATAATTAGAAGTTATAAGTCTAGGTTTTCTCGCGACTTTTTCTTTCACCGCTTGCCACTTGTCAGTGATATCTAAATAAACTTAGAAAGTACATATAGCTCTGAAAAATTAATAACCACGCCAGTACAACCTGTAAATTATGAATCAATTTCGTGATGTCCTAAACTGTTTAGAATATAATTCTGTTAAAGCAAAGCAATTTTATTGTATATTAGTCCAAAAAGTTTTTTTTTTATTTATTAAGTTTTTTTTTTATTTATTAAGTGTGGGAGAGCCATGCTTCGGCACGAATGGGTCGGCTCGACCGGAGTGATACCACGGCCTCACAGAAGACCGACGTGAAACAACCACAGCGTTTTCGTTTCGAGATTTAGGGATTGAGGAGGGATTGGGGGCGGGGAAGGATTGGGCCTCCGGTAACCTCACTCACACGGCGAAACACAATGCTGTGGTTGTTTCACGTCGGTCTTCTGTGAGGCCGTGGTATCACTCCGGTCGAGCCGACCCATTCGTGCCGAAGCATGGCTCTCCCACACTTATTTTCCACTCAAGTATCCCACTAAAGTATTTATTGATCTTTAAACCAAATGCTTACTTTTAGCTATTTCCTGTGACTAAATTATTATGTTTTCGGCTTACTCACGTAATTGTTTTACGAGATACTCGACTAGTTTCAAGCCATGCTAGAGGCCCATATTCATGAGCAGCACCCGACGCGTGTCGCGGAAAAAATAATTACGTGATTAAGCCGAAAACATGAACACACGAATAATAAAAATTACCTGTGACATTTAAATGTTTGTATTTAAAAATATTATAAATAATTTAAAAGCATTACTTGGAAACTTGCCCGAATTGAAGTTGGCATTTCTCCGAAATACAACCTTAATTAATGGAAAAAAGCGTTAAATTTCTTGTTTGTTGAATATGATTTTTCAGTAAGTACAGAATTGTATTTTGTTCAGTTTTGTTTTAATTGTTTAAATTAGGTACCTAACTTTATGATATTAATTATATGGCACTTGGAGTAACTGTTGAACATTCTCTATAATTAGCGTTCGAAAAAAGAAACGAATAACTGAGTCACGATAGCATCGCATTAGTATTAAACGTGTTTAATAATATATTAATCACTTTTATGGATTCCAAAAGAAACAATAAAAACAAACTAAACTTTTAACTTTTAAAATTATTTTTTACGTTTTAACTTTTAACATTATTTTTTACCTAATCATAATGGACAACAAAACCTCATCAGTTTAATCCTAAAAATTAACTCTGATACAGCAAAATAACGCTTCTTATGTTGGATAATAAATCAGGAAATCGCATGCATACATGTTCAAAGAACTCTGCATAGATTCACTAGCAAGAAGGGCTACGTCGCTACGTCGCATTGCTATGCTTACTACGTAGCATCGTAGCCCTTAGGGAAGAGTAACAATTTTAATTATTGTGAATATATAATTGTCTAGACTCCGACAAAGGGTCCATCACCAGTGCCCACTTCGAGAGGTCCCAGCCCGGTGCCAAAGGCCCCCAGCCCGGTGCCAAAGGCCGCCAGTCCAGTGCCAAAAGCTGTGAGTCCTACAGGTGAAGGGACCACTTCTCCTCAACCAGGTGAGTTATGAAATAAATATTTAATACGTTGGACGCTCAGGCTATGGGGACATCATTTATAATGGGGCTGATGACATGTATACCTCCTGGGAAAACAAAGATCTAACTATTCAGTAATACTATGCTTATAACATGTACAGTGACAAATATAAGTCAACAATTAAGTTATATGAAATAAATACATATTTATTTAAGGCAAATCAACAACAGAAACACAGACATGCTTATTTTACATTTTATATGTCAACTAGCTTCCGCCCGCGGCTTCGCCCGCGTCACATTAGTTTTTGTCAATCCTGGTCTCTTATGTCTAAGAGACTCTTACAGGGGCCAGCCCAGGAGTACCATTTTCAAATTCCACACTTCTTGTGGAATTTGAAAACGGTACCCCTCTTGCTCATTGCTAAACATAAGCGGGTATTGTAGTGCGTCATAAAACTTGGGTGTCGGACACCCTGATCAATGTGTTATCATGGGTTTGAAAAACAATATCGCACGATGCGAACTGTTGTTGTTGACTGAACACCACACACCATGGCAGCGACTTCGTTTAATAAGGGTGCAGTATAACGTCTTTCATATTCCCCGCTTGGCGTAGGATCTGCGAGTATTACTAATTTGTGATTTTCCCGTGGTATTTTTTCTAAGGCTGTTTTGAAGGTGTTAATGAGGTTATTATGTTCGTGCAACATTCTTTGAATTTTGAAAACAATGTCCCTCTCATCTCCTTCAATATTTTGATATCAACGGTCAACCTCGCTGTTTTCGTCTCCCATAAAATAAATCTGTAGAAATTTTGGTTGGTCATCGTTTGTGGAAAGCAAAGAACCAATCCTATGATAAACTTGCCCTTGTACCGTAAATGTGGGTGAAAATCCAGGCATGATGACAGGAAAAATCGCCGAGATTCATTGCTGTCCTTTCTTCTGTCGTTGCTCCTCGGGGTCACCAAGCGTTGGTACTGATACTTTGCCTCCAGAACAGCACATACCTAGGGTCTCTTCCTTCCACTTGAGTGCCTCACAGTGTCTGCATTTATTGGCCATTCTACCTATGAGGACTAATCGATGATTAAAGTAATCAAGTAACAGATCATAATTATAAGCAGCATCGGCAAATGCCTCCCACGTATTCATCGTAAACGTACGTCTCCTTTGCCGCTCGGCATTAATTAAACGTCGTCTACGTGTTTCTTCGGAGATCTCTGCGGCTATGTACGAAGATTGATGCTCAGCATCTAAGATTTGGCGAGCTTGGGTGTGTTGAGAAGTCTCAGCAGCTCTTTGATCCGCGTGACGCTCGGCATCAATGATTTGGCGAGCTTGGGACTGTTGAGAAGTCTCAGCAGCTCTTTGATCCGCGTGACGCTCGGCATCAATGATTTGGCGAGCTTGGGTGTGTTGAGAAGTCTCAGCAGCTCTTTGATCCGCGTGACGCTCGGCATCAATGATTTGACGAGCTTGGGTCTGTCGAGAAGTCTCATTCCAGTGATCTAGCAAGTTTAGCAGCCCGAGCTCTGCTAGAGTTTTAGCTAAATTGGACTTTCGTTTGCGAAGCATCGTAGAACAACAAAAATGAAATGAATCGAACAAAACAGATGTACAGATTAAGATTTATTATAAAATAAAAGCAAATCGTATTTATTAAAAGTAACGGAAACTATCTTACCTACTTGTAACGTTGTAACTATGAACTAAAAGAAATATAAGTATGTGCAAAATTTATTTACAGGATCTAATTAATAAAAAACACTTAAAAAGTTAGACGAAACTATAAAATAATTTTACTGAATCGAAAAATGTAATTCTCTAAAGCGCAAATTTCTCTTATCGCACCCGACAACGACGTCTGTCCGTTCGGGTAGACATAGTTAGATTCGTGCGCTTCCCCACCACACGATAGCGCCGCGCCGCACTTCGGCGAATGTGCGCGACGCCGACGGCAGCGACGGCGATGCAGAGTGTTCATTAAAAGGAATTTATACTTCGAAAGTGAACTATTTTGTAACTTGATACACCCAAAACCCTTCTAAATTACATGTTCCTAGGTTCAATAGTTTTAAGATTTCGTATACATACATAAAGGTTGGCTTTGTAGATCCGTTCCGGGTCCTATCTTCAATTCATCCCCTTTTTCACTACATATCACACTAATAAAATTATCAAAATGCTAGTACAAACGATTTTTTGTTTCTTATGACGTGATATTTGACGAAATTGCATACTAACTTTCAACCCTTATATCACCCCTTAGCAGGTCGAAATTTCAAAAATGCTAGAACAAATATTTCAAATTTTCTTATCAAGTGCTTAAATATTAAGTTTTATGGTTTTATCTTTAAAAATTAAGAAATCCCATACAAACTTTTAACCCCTATTTAAACCCTTTATTCCTGTTTTTCGAAAAAAAAAGTAGCCTATGTTCTGTCTCAGGGTCTAAAGATTGTCTGTACCAAATTTCATTAAAATCGGTTGCGAGGTTTAAGCGGGACAGCGTAACAGACAGACAGACAGACAGACAGAGTTACTTTCGCATTTATAATATTAGTTAGGATAATAGATGTCTATAATAGATGTGTACAACATTCGCATAAAAATGAAAACTTACAATCTTAATTTACGAAATGAAAACAAGATACATTAAGAATAAACTAAATATTTAATTAGATTTAAAGTTAGTCAATAATTGAGAATTATAAATATTAATTCATTCACATTGAAGCTAAGTGAAATTCTCATAAATCATTCTATACAATGATGACAAAATATGGTTTATGGTTCGGGAGAGCCATGCTTCGGCACGAATGGGTCGGCTCGATCGGAGTGATACCACGGCCTCACAGAAAACCGGCGTGAAACAACCACAGGGTTGTGTTTCGCCGTGTGAGTGATGTTACCCGAGGCCCAATCCTTCCCCACCCCCAATCCCTCCTTAATCCCTAAATCTCCAAATCCCTAATCCCTAAAAGGTCGGCAACGCACTCCTAACTCCTCCGTTGCGGCGGGTGTCCATGGGCGGCGCTGATTACTTACCATCAGGTAATCCGTCTGCTTGTTTGCCGATCTACTACATAAAAAAAGTTCACATACGTACCTACATATATGTATAGGTAACAAACTATCACGTGGTTGCAGGCCAATAATAATATGCGGCGGGCCCAGCCTAAAGTAGGAGAAGGAACGGAGTAATTTTAAGTCAGTAAAACTGTGACAGTTCCTCTCCAGGCCCTCACCCAGGGCTAGAGAAGACACTTTTGAAGGTTTCCCCCCTCAAAAACTAGGAAACTAGCTTTTTTGTTATGCTCTTGCTATAAGGTCTAAAATCTATACAAAGATTAAATAGAAATATTAAGTTAGCACATATACATACATATATTCCTATACATGACTAACTGAAACCGCATTTCCATAAACCTAAACACAATACAAGTTGCCTCCGGCATCTCTCGTTACTCAGGTTCCTTGTAATAAGAATTCCTAGTAACATCGATATGAATTTTGATATATAGTCAAATACAAAGAGGAATAATTGGGTAATTCTTTAGTACATAGTATAAGACAAAGTCGCTTTCTCTGTCTATCTATATATGTTTGATTTTGCATTAAAAGTCTTAAAAACAACTTATTTTTAAGAAGCGACCGGTTTCGCGCCTGCTAATACTAAATTTTCCCCCTTTTTAATGGATGTTTTCTATAGATACTATTATTATAAAGCTGAAGAGTTTGTTTGTTTGAACGCGCTAACCTCAGGAAATACTGGTTCGAATTGAAAAAATATTTTTGTGTTTGTAGATAGAATTTATTAGGGATGGCTTTAGGCTATAAAACATCACGCTATGATCTCAAGGATCGCTAGGAGCCGTGCAGCGGGTGAAACCGCGTAAAAAAGCTAGTTATACATACAAATCTTCCTCTTAAATCACTCTATGTTATAAAAAAATCATCAAAATCCGTTGCGCAGAGTTCAAAATTCAAGCATACATATTGATATAGGGACATAGGGACAGAGAAGCGACTTCATTTAACGACAAGAATAGGTATAGCGAGTGTTTTAAGCGTTCCGAATCAAGAACTTTTTTCCTAAACTCGAATAGATCGATTACATTCATTTTATTTAAGAGTTGAACTTACTAATAATATTACGTATGTACGTACTTATGTATTACGAAACCAATAATATTATACTATATATACTTATATTATAAATGCGAAAGTAACTCTGTTTGCCGTCTTTCTGTCTTTTCTTCACGCATAAACTACTGAACCGATTTCTGTGAAATTTGGTACTGACATAATTTGGAACTTGAGAAAGGACATATAAAAGTTTTTATACCAAAAATCTGCAGGAAGTCATTATTCAACGAGAACGGAATCGCGGGCAAAATCTAGTTTCCAATAAACCATACAGCAAAATATACGAACAAGATTACATTTGGCGTTTCATAAATCAGCATTTTTCTACATACCTTAGAGAACATAACTTGTCTTACCTCATTTGGTTTTTGTTATTTAATGATATGTTACATAACAAATAAATTTACCTATATACATTGGAACCATCGTGTATTTCTTAGGGTTCCGCATCCAAAGCCAGAGCTGTGCGTGTAAGCGCAATAATACTATATATCGTAACCCCGGCTCAGAGAAGTATCAACGGGGTGGTTTTTAGTCAGACAGATTTTGACACTACCTATATTCCCCACCCTGGGAGGAAGAAGGCTTTGAATAATTTTCTTCCCTCGAGAAAAATGTTCCGCAAAAAATATAAAAATGGATGCTTAATGCTAATATATTTCATCAATACTAAGCGGACACTGCTCTCCTCTGTGATGTCATTGCAGCGTCGCGTTTTCATCTCTCACAATCCTAAGCGCTCAAAGTTCTCACCTACTTTATAAAAAACTCCGATACTTTTAGATTAAATAAGAGAATTTATGAACCTGTTCTCAAAAATACTGAGTCATGATTTATGAAAATATTGATTTTAAGGTGATTATGTTAAGTTGCACTTCATATACCACGATAACTAAACAGTTGGTGATGTATTTCAGTTCACACTTCAACAACTACAAAAAAAAAAATAAGTATTAAAGATTTCCCATCGATCAAAAAGTGTCATCTTTTTACTTAATACCTACGGAACTCATAGTGTTAGCCCGTCTCAGCCGGTGATACCTACTTGGCCGGTTATTTTGGCATTATGCCAGACTTCGCGTGGGTGTCTTAATAAGTGGTCACTTAAGGTTGCTTTCTCGGAGACGAGCTGCTAAGTCATTGTCCATTACCCATATCAAAAAGACACAATAAATTAATGTTTGATTTAGATAAATGAAGATGGCAGTTAATAATATGTTTGGATGACGATATGTTTATATTTTCGTTTCAATGAATAAGCATAAAAGTAGTGACATTTTTCTTCGTTCCATCTATATATCGGCAGTCCAAAGTTAGTAGTGCCATGAAATGCCGGATTACCTGTTTGTTAACCATCGGCAGCCCCAAACTCTACAGAAATAATGACAGTGGTACCGGTCTTTAGAGAGTTAGGGATTTTAGGATTGGGCTTCAGATAACCTCACCCCCTAGTATTGGGGATTTGGGGATAGGGAGGAGGAGGATTAGGCCTCTGGTAACTTCACACGGCTTAACACGGCGAAAGGGTTGTTTTTTTGCCAGTTTTTTTGTATGGCCGTGTTATTGAGTTATTTGTATATGAGTTATCTTTGAACGAGCCGTTCGTACCGGAGTAAGACTCTCCCACAATATGTGGGCTACACTAGCAAATTTGCCTTTAACAGTTACTAGCGACCCGTCCCGGCTTTGCACGGGTGCTTTACAAACACTAAAATTTTCCACTTTTTAATAGATTTTATTATATCTATAAATAATCCTCTATAGTTAAAAAAAAAAACCCGTGGCGTATTTTTAAAGATTAAAGCATACATATAGGATATAGGGACAGAGAAAGCGACTTTGTTTTATACTATGTAATAAATAGGCAGTTAATGTAACATCCAAACACAAAATAATATCCTAGCTCTTTGCCCGAGTCGGGAATCGGCTTGACAGTTTTACTTGGTACTCGAGCTTAGGACAACTCTATGCACGAGGCACCCCTTTCACCGGATAAATCTATTACAACCTCATCACACAAACTTATGCAGATTATAATTCAATTCCTGACATTCGTTGTTGATTACAATGTTACAAGGTGTCGACAAGCTGTCTGTTTACCCATGATTAATAATAAAACTGTTTACATAGCAGCTTTGAATTGATTTGTTTATTGCAATGTTAGTTTCATAAAATTATAATCGATTTATATTTTATAGTATTTTTCGCCGGGGTTTAGTGTTATTTTGTTGAACTAAAATATGGTTCATCATCATCCGCCCATAAGTGCCCACTGCTGAGCAAAGGCCTCTTCTCACACGGAGAAGGTTTAAGCATTAAAAACCACGCTTGCTCAATGCGGGTTGGCGATTTCAAACTTTATAATAAGAAATTATAAGTCCAGGTTTCCTCCTGATGTTTACGTTCGTACTGTTTTTTTTTTATGAGAAGCGGGCTCCTTAACCTCCGGGCCACCACTACCTATTTATTATTCGGGGTTGGCGGGATGTAAGCGGAAAAATTATCGCAACCCGGTTTATCAGGAGAAGGAACGGGACGGGTCTTAGTCATTAAGATACATATTTTGACACTCCGTCACGTGTGTGTCTGTTAATCATTTTAGTATTAGGTACTGTTTTTTTGGTTTTTGGGTGGGGTGATAAACGAATAACCAAATGATACTCAGCGCTGTCCATGGACTATCATGCCTAGGTTTAGGAGCTACTATTTAAAGAGTTCTACATCAGATCGCTTCTTGTAAGATTTGTGACGTTATTAGTGCATTTTTCTAATCGATATGCATAGCCATAGATAAATTAATTAACTATTTACATCATTTAATCTCGGTAGATCCAAGTCCTCTGAAAGCAAAGCGTGTGCCTGGAGAATCGCCACCGAAGGTCATCAAGCGAAAGCCACCGGGTCCACCTTCACCATCAGGAGATGATTCGGTGAGTTAATAGTCCAAAACCTTAAGTGCTTTAAAAGTATTTATATTATTTTAAAACAATGTATCAATGGTGATTTAATATGTATTAGAAGTCGATCAAAACGATTATTTAATGAAGATATAAGTGTTAGAGTGAACATTTCGCATACAGCTTTACTGATAAACTGACTGGCAGAATATTTTTTAAAATTTTAAGTACTTATTGTTTTTATGTAGATTACATGAAAGAAATATTGTTGGCTTCGAACGAACGGTCTTCACATATTTTTTTTCATTTTTGATATCAGGCCTCGGCTAAGCCCGAAGATGGCGAGACCAAACCTCCAGAAGATATAGCAGTAGCCAGACCAGTGGCTCCTGAGATCAAGCCGGCAGATGGAGCCATACCTCCACCCCCACCACCACCGGCGAAGGCTAAGGTAATAATGAAATAGGATCATTATTTTTGTAGAAGAGTAGCGGTCGCCCGCGACACCGCCCGCGTGAATGTCGATTTTACACTTTTTCATTCAAGATTTTTTCAATTCAAGACGAAACACAACGCAGCAGTTGTTTCATGGTTTTTTGTGAGGCCGTGGTATCACTCCGGTCGAACTGACCCATTCGTGCCAACGCATGGCTCTCCCACACAATCTAAATGTCGGAACTTACTTACAGTTACCTGTATAAATTCATTCTAATTTTAGACAACATAAAAGATATTTTTAGATGAGAGTTTTTTACAGGTTGAAACTTTAGTATATACCTACTTAAGTTATTTTTATTGTATTTTTTCGGTCTTTGAATAAGTAGGTTCCCTTTTTTAGGTACCCAAACTTCTTAACACATTCAGTGCCCCCGACGCGTATGTGCGTTTCATCAAACGCACATACGCGTCGGGGGTGTTAAGTAATTCTAATCAAATCTAAAGACAATGAAATCGTAAAATTGTGGTAGCATATTGACTATTTGGCTTCTTTGACGGAGATACGGTGCGTAGCGAGCGTTCGATGTACATTGCTCATAATTATTATGTTTGTATGAAGGATTATGTTACTAGCAACTGCAATGTATGACGAACATAGAGCGCACTGCATAACGCTCCTCGTCTTTATAAACCAAGTCTCATATTAGACCACGTCTCCCGCTAGTTAAACTTTTTTATAAACTGACACTTTCGTGCCTTTCTTTAGAACATTCCCACTTAAACTGATGTTGTTCTTTCCTCAAGAGACCACTGCGGAATGAACTTGCACGGTTCTAACACATTAAGTTATTTTTCACATTGTCTGTACTTGAAAAGAGACTGACCTCTGAGTTTGTTTTGGCATTTCTTCGCAGAGTAGTCAGATAGAAAATGCCGGCTTCATCTAGTTTTTTACATAAAATTTTGACGTGTTAAAGTCTCAGGACTCGAATCTCAGGACTAAGTACTAGGTCCAAACCTATACACACTTTTTAAACTTACGTTTAACTTATTTGTTAAGTTTTAAATTATTTATTGAAATCCTTCATAAAACTTTTAATTGAAGTCATTCACATATTGTAAAGTGCTTAGTTTAATTACAATTAATTGCATGCAGTCATGAAATATTAGACATTTTTAACTTAAATAAAACCTATGTTTTTGAGGTTAACCTACTTTTAGTTTTAAAGTCAAAGCAATTATATAATAAGTGATCGATTATTAGAGTTATATTTGCACAAATTTAATATTTTTTAATAATGAAGCTGTTTCATGTTTTTTACAAAAACATGTTCAGTATATTTTCTAAATTGATTACTCAGTGCAAATCATTTTGTCTTGGCTGATACCCATTTTGTCACTATTAGAGTGAGTATAAGTGTACGTTTGTTAAATTTACATACTGCATAGCTAGAGCTGTTAGTTCACCAGAAAATAAATAAATTAATTAATTGACAACTTTTTTCCGGGATGACAAGCTACCTGTAAATAACCACTTATTTCATCAAACCCCAAGCGAACGCCCGCATTCGCGCACCTGTTGTTGTTCTTCTATTGTGTATCGAATTGAAAAGTTAATTTGGAATGAAATAGAGAATAATAATAATAATTTCAACATATACGTAGGTATGTATGTACTATCAACTCAACATCATTTTCCGTAACCCAATGATTTTGCTGCAGGCTCCACCAGCCCCAGCCCCAACAATGGAAGTAACACCAAGTACACCAGTGCACCCACCAGCTTCAGCTCCGGAGGTGGCTCCCAAGCCACCATCCCCCCCTAAAGTGGCACCACCACCATCCAGAGCCGCGTCTCCACAACCTTCCACTTCTGCTGTAGTGCCTGTAAGTATACCGAGAAACAAGTTGTTTTTTTTTATGTAATAGGTCGGCAAACGAGCATACGGATTACCTGATGGTAAGCAATCAGCGCCGCCAACGGAGGATTTACGAGTGCGTTGCCGACCTTATAGGGATTAGGGATTTGGAGATTTAGGTATTGAGGAGGGATTGGGGGCGGGGAAGGATTGGGCCTCCGGTAACCTCACTCACACGTCTTCTGTGAGGCCGTGGTATCACTCCGGTCGAGCAGACCCATCCGTTGTTTTTGTTTTCCTTTTTTTTTTGTTCTTTTCCTAACTGGGTCCTCTATTTTAGGTATTGTACTCAAACTTCTTGAGTAGTTCTGAAGAAAGAACAAAAAAAAAAAAATTTGACTGTTCATCAATCCTAATGTTTCATTTACTTTAAGGATCCTCAAAAGGACGAAGTAAGGAGAACCAATCCTTCCCCAATCCCAAAACCTCTAAATCCCTAAAAGGTCAACAACGAACTCGTAACTCCTCCGTCGTTGCGGGTGTCCATGGGCGGCGCTTATTGCTTATCATCGGTATACGCATTTGGCGTCCTATCACATAAAAAATCTCTTTTTTTACTAAGAGAGAGTAAGAGTTAAAATTTAAAATTATTAAATACATGTGCAACACATGTATTTAATAATTTTAAATTTTAATTTTCAAACTCCTTTTGGCTATGAAATGTTTAGCGTCTACATACTTCCAATAAAGGCCAGGCTTATAATTATTTTATTTATAGAACAGTGTATATTAAAATTTACCAGCCTTAACGTATTCACACAGTCTTATATAAAGTATCGTTTCTTTAATGAAAATTCACAGCATGTTATTTTAATAACGTATTCAATTAGCGTTCCACAGAATTCTTACTATATCTTTTCACCGTGATTTCATCATATATGTAGGTATACCTATAAAAATGTGTAGGTAAGCGTGTAACTCAACAACGACATATTTCGAATGAGGTAGGGAGGCATACTAGCAATAGGATAACCTGATATTAAATAATCGGCGCTGCCAATGGACACCCGCAAAACCAAGGGAGTTAAGAGTCTGTTGCCGGCCTTTTGTGGGTAAGGGGTTTTAGGAAATTGGGGGATAGGGTAGGAGGAGGGGAAGAAAAGGATAAGGCCTGCAAAACTCACTCACACGGCGTTACACAACGCTATGTTCGTTTCGTATCGGTTTTCTGTGAGGCCTTGGTATCACTCTAGTCGAACCGCCATCGCTAGCCATTCGTAGCGTGCCTCTCCCACGCTAGATAATTGATAAGCATAGGTATTAAGAAAAAAAATGACTAATTAATTATTAATTATTACATTGAGTAGTCCCTTATTAACAAAAAGGAAAAAAAATGCAGCCATACTAAGTTGTATCAATTTCAAAACTACAGACAACTCGATTAATGTCAACAATACAAGTCTACTTATAACAAAAAGCTTAAACAGTTCAAAGTATTCAAAAACTACCTAATTTCCATTATACTTCCTCATCACTATTATTAATTTAAACACCTATTATAATACATTTTTCATTGTTCCAATTGTTTTGCTTAAGCCGCCAACTTTGGTTTAACGTGAAATCGTAATAAGATATTTTCCAAACGCCTTCAGCGAAATCCTTTATAATTGCAAAAATAATTCTTGATATTGTTTTACTTTCCCGGTTTTCGGAATTTAAATAAAGAGTGGAAATTATTGTGTCTATTTAATGTTCATATTATGTATATTTTGCGTTTAATAATAGGTATTATTATTTTAATTGCCTACATATAATATATGATTATGTTGTAACAGTGAAGTGGGTGTTCTTAAAAATGTCGGTTTATATTATATTATATTTAGATGAAAGTGGATGGTTAGAAAAAAATTAAATGTTACTGCTTAATGCGAGATGTCTTAATATTCAATGCATTTAAGTTACACCTTTAGTCTGCATTAGGGTTTGTCTCTGTGGCCAGGGGCTACCGCGGCCTAGGACTAGAACAGTAGAAGGAACGGGGGGGGAGGGGTTTGGTCAGCAAGAACACTTAGCCCGCTGCCTCGAAACTTGCGGGTAGCGGGGCGGCAGCGGCGGCGGCGTGAAAGCGGAGCGGGCATCGCAGACCCGTTCTCGAAACGAGCGGGCAGATTGCGCGTCAATGAAACTTAGTGTTGTGTTCATTATTGTGTCGTCAACATATTTGTCACCGCTCGACTGAAGTACACCGCTCGCTGCCCGCGCCCGTCTCGCTACCGCGCCACTGTATTCGAGGGCCGAACCATTTGATTATTCGCGTAAGATCCTGCCGCTCCCGCGCCGCCGCCGTCGCCGCCCCACTGCCCGTGAGATTCGAGGCAGAGGCCTGACACTGTCTCTCGCCCTGGCGAAGAAGAAAGAAGTAATTCCATAATTTTCCCTCCTAAAAAGGGTTGCAACGTTAACTTAAACACTCGATTAAACCTACAATTAAAATACGAAATTTCCTACCTACTAGCAAATTTTGTTACCTTATCTAACAAAATATACATTTCTTTAACAGCCATCCCCAGCGCCACCATCCCCACCAAAGCGGCTGACATCCACCTCCAGCACGGAACAGCTGATACCACCAGCGTCTCCTGAACCTCTCCGTCCAGCCAAGAAGTTAGACGAGATCAAGACCATTAAGAGACAACAGAAGACCGGCTGGCTATAGGTACCACCCTTATTACACCTTCCTATGATAATATTAACTCATTTAATACAATTGAATAAAATAATTTAATCAAAATAGTCTTCTGGTGGGACTTGGGTATCAGAAATAGAATTTGCAGTAAGTTTAAAATTGTGGTCATATTTTTTTATGCAAAAGTATAAGAGATAATAACAGTAATAGTTCTATGGACCTATACGTTTTGCTGTTTCAGATTTGACTCAGTTGCCAAGTACCTAGCTAAAAGATCCCAAAAAATATTATATTTTCGTCGTTAGAAAAAAAAATGTACGAATACCTTCAATAAGGTACATCTGAGTTCAATTTGCAAAACTCACCTCACTCATTCTTAAGATAATTATTTAAATAAAATTAAAGAACTAGGGATGACTTCTAAGAAAAACTTTAAATTTAGTATCGCTACAGTATTTCTTTTTAAGACGAATGGAAGATAGTTGAAATTCTATTCTTGTAACTTTGTGTAAAACAGTTTAAAACTGCCATTGTGATTCTAAAATGTCATCATATTTCCTACAGGCCTTGATGCTTTTTAAAAAAATATTGTCTACAATTCTACATTTAACGTCTTACTATTCAAACCTCGAAAACGGTTTTCGAAACAGTCGGAACAAAAAATGTTTTGTATCAATCAGCTTTAATTCAATTAATATAAAAAAAAAACTGTTTTTTACAATTTTTACCTACAAAATAATCAAAATTAAAGGCTGAAAATGCTTTTCTATGCCATAGGCATTAGCGCGTTTTGTAATATTTTCTTTTTGAATTCAGTTTTCCACTTGAATTGAATGAGTTAATATGATTTTCATCTTTTTTTAATTTTAAATTCTATTTTCTCTTATCTCAATATGTTTGGCTAGGGTTGGTTGTCAAGTGAATGTAGTAATGATACAAAGTGGTGTCCCTAAAAAATTAAAATAAATAAAAAAAAACAGAAAAGAAAATTGAATAAAAGAAATGATAAAAACATTTATTTTATTATTTCTTCTTATATAAATATTTTTATTTTTATACCTACCTTTTAACGATTTTATTATTTATATTTTATGCTCTGAAATTATTAACAATCCTACTAATATGCATTTGATTTGAAATTGGAACTGTAAACATTACTTTCTTTTAAACGTTATTTTTTAAAATTCCGAACGTATTCTTTGATAAAAACTATCATGTCCTATTTTTTTTATCGAGTAAAAGGGACACTACAATCAATATTTTATCGTATATATCTCATAGGGAGCTCGCGTGTAGTTTCAGAGCGTCAAATTCATGACTAATATGAATGTCTGATAGACCGCGACTGTCCTTATTGCAATACGATTCTTTATTGATTCAGTGTCTCCGATATATCTTTATTGACCCTATCATGTATTATTATTTAAACAAATTGAATTGATATATTATTTTTTTATAATAATTATGTTTTATTTATTTTGTGAATAATTTTCGAATCATTATTTATTATTTAACTTTAAATTTTATTAATTTTAAACATTATTTTAATTTTCTATTAATAATTTGTTGTTATTTAATTTTGCCTCGTTTTCGATTATGTTTTTTTTATTAATTTTGTGCTTGCTCGTATTTTGTGTTTTGCTTCTGAATAAAGATTTGGTTATGTTTGCGTTTTTTATTTCTTATTTTTTTTTTCTATTGAAGCGATGAAATGTCGATGATGCATTTCATTCTCAATTTATTAAATATTTAAATGAAATAGATCTAATTTATTTCTTTTATTACTTATCGATAATTGCAATTTATCGATAAGTAATAAAGAGAAATGTTTGTTACGGTCTTCAAAATTTTGTCTATAATTTCTTTTGAGTATTATAAGCATTTGCTTAAGTTTTAAGACATAACTACTAAAAACAATAATTATTGTCTTTTTTAATGAATTAACCAAATATATTATGGTGACGTTTTATAAATTTTTATTGTAATACGTAAATATGTATAGAGTAAATTAATAAAAAAAATATTATGTCTAGGTATTTTGTTTTCCTCGTAAAACCTATCATGTGAAGAAAGAAAAATTTACTACTTAAAGTTTTACATTAGCAATAATTATACATAATTGCATTATACACATAATAAAAAAGTAGATAAACAATTTGTTTTTAGTAATTATATTCAACTACCAATTTAAATGTACCTAATTTAACCCGTGGTATTAATGCGAACCCGCAGATATACGCGAGACACAATGTGTTTTCTATTGTGTCTCATATACCGGCAGACTAGCGGTTAATAAATAATTTAGGTAGCCAGTTTTTAGGGCTGTGTAAGCGGAATGACACCTTAAATGGCGTATCTATTGCAATCACTATTTCATGCATGACCCGTCTGACCCTTGCAGTGAACCGAGATTGGTTTGTGGTCAAGATATCCAAAATCGTAACCGTTATATAGGTAGGTACTATAGGAAATCCACCTCGTTTCCACTTCTATCCTCTTTATTGAGAGGTTTTTGACCTCACAAAGATATGTATCCATGAAAGATATCTTCATTATGTAGACTTATCCAATCAATCATCAACTTGGACCATAAAATAGTGACAGACAAACAAAAAACTTTTACTTTTCTTTAGTAAGCACACACGGATATTGAATTGATAGATTCTATTTGTGTTGGATAGTCCATTTCTCGGGGCAAGGATTATAGGCTATAAAACATCGAGCTACGACCAATTAGAGCTGTGGAGCCGAGCAGCAGAACAGTTAGCCAATCCAGTATAAACAGACTGTTGAACGTGCGGAAAGGTCATACACAACAAGTCCATGGTAGGCTGGTTAAGTTTTTTTATGGTATAAGTCGGCAAACGAGTTGACGGATTACCTGATGGTAAGCAATCGGCGCCGCCTCTGGACACCCGGCCGACCGACCTCCCATTTACACGGATAAACAACGCCATCGTTCTTTCACGCTGTTATTCTTCGAGGCTGTAGTATTCCTCCGGTCAAACCGACGCATTCGTGTCGAAGCTTGGTATTCCCAAACTTTTCTTTGAGTTAATTGCCTTTAAAAACATTTATTCACTTGAATTTACTTTTATGTAAATCCTTTCAGTTGATTTTGTATGACGAAAACTTTTCGGACGGACAGACATGAGTACGGAACAGATGGATTAGATACGTGATCCACAAATTGCAATACCATGTCAGATGTCACATGTATATGTATGAGGTTTTATGTTTACAAATGCATCTACGACATAGAAGAATATTCTAGTGTTGGGCAAAAATAAAAAACGCATTATAATGATAATATTTAAGGAAACCTTACATTGTTTGTACCTACTTCTTATGTGATAAGACAGCAAACGAGCAGATGGATTACCTGATGGTAAGCAATCAGCACCGCCCATGGACACCTGCAACAGTTTTGGAGTAACGAGTGCGCTGCGGACCTTTTGGAGATTAGGGTTTGGGGTGAGGGAAGGATAGGACCTCCAGTAACTTAACAACCTCACTCACAATTTTTTTTTTTTTTGTAGAAAGTAGCGTCGTCTCACTCTGGCATTTTCTCCTGTATCGTGGGTGCGTTTACGAACATCCAATTTCACATACACAATACACCCAGACCCGGAACAACAATTTGTGGATCACACAAAGAGTTTTCCCGTGAGGGACTCGAGCCCGCAACACGCTGCGCGGGCAGCCAGTTGCCCAGCCACCGCGCCAACCGTGCAGTCAATAAAAAAAGTCAAACTGTAATATGAATGTAAATAGTTGCTACATATTCCTATTGCAATTTCTTCTTGCAAACATGTATAAGAAAAAAACCCCTCTGCGGTTCGAAACTAGTAGAGCTTTTCTTAATTTATACATGTGAGTGACCCGCGATTTTTAGTTAATCTAGGTATATCAGGAAAATTAATATTAATATACACATCACAGAACTCACTAAGGACCACATACATACTTAGTTATTTTTCTAATAAGCCTTATAATAAACATCCAAATTCTACCCATCGTAGATACTTAATTATAATTTTTCAAAAGACTAAATCTCTTTGATTAAAAGCGGCTGAAACGGGATTGCATTTAAATTAATACGGCCTGACGTCTTAAATGTGGGGCGTCAAAGGAAGAATTTATCTTCAAAACAAGAGCGAGGATTCATTATGGCTTGAGGCGTGATATAGAGGGCTTTTGATAGCGAGATTAGGAAGTAAGTAAATAACGGTGTTTGATATATTTTAGACTAGCAATTCCCGCGCTTTTTCACTCGCTGATCACCTCTCATTGGTTGTTACGTAACGTTCTATACAGTTTTTTTTCGTGGGGGGAAAATCATCAAGTTGCTTCTTTCGGCCAGGGTACGGCGAGACGAAGTGTTAGACTCTTACTGACTAAAACCTTCTCCGTTCCTTCCGCGGCTCCAAGCCGAGGCCGCGGAATCTTATTACGCTTGATTAACCCTGACTAAACCGCAACTTCGGCTAAGCATATACTTACTACTTACTTAGGTATACATAAAATTGTAGGTTTTTGCGACCACTCCTACCCTTGGTGTCAACTCCTACTGACTAAATACCATCCAGAGCTATCTTCTGCTTTGAGCCAGTGTGATTTATCATTGCACTTGCAACAACCCTGGCTAGATATCCCAATCGTGGACTTCCGTCTCTCGGTCGGATTAGAGGAAAGAACGGGGTGGGTTTTAGACCATTAAGAGTCTGACATTATCTCTCGCCCCAGTTAAACTCGGGTGTCAAAGTTTTAATGACTAGAAGCCATCCCGTTCACCATCTTCTCCAAGCCGCGGCCAAAGTACATGATTGCGTTTGAATCGCAACTCCGGAAACTTTATTTGAAGAATGAAAACAGACAAAATGAACATTCCTTCGAAATAAATATTAATTCAGTCCTTGTTTGTTTACGTACGCCCGTTGCGTGGGCGTTTCGACTTAAAATTTCGATTGTCAGTTATTTTGGGATGTAAGTACCTAAAGGTCGATAACACGGTTAAGTTACCTAGATATATTTATTAACACAGCATAATAACTGGCATTATGTAAGGAAAAATGGTCATCTGGGGTCTTGATCTCCGGTCGTCTAACCACCTGAATTAGCGAGAGTAGTTCGCCGTCCCACCAGAATTTGACCCTATATTACGGCGTGTAAGCAATTCAAAGAGCTAACAGACCACCACAGAGAGGGCTGATGTTCAGCAGGGGTGGCGGGTCAACCGTAATAACGTAGTGCGGTGCCTATCTAGAGTAGGACCAAGAACGGCGTGTATTTTTGTCAGTAAAAGTCTGTCACTCCGTCTCGCTCTACCAAGAAAAGGAGAAGTCATTCGATGATTTTCCCCTATCCAAAAACAAGGGATAACGTCTTCGGATGGCTTAACTTTTGGTAAAAAAGCTGAGCATTAGTATGGTTCAAAATTTTATGTCGGAATACTAATTAAGTAAGATTGTGTTTCATTTGTGATCACAAAATCTTGAAGACTCAGTGCAAATGTCTTAAGCGAAAGCCAGACAAGGTGGCTACCGTACATTTTACCTTAATTTTTCTTAAAGTCTTAAACAGGTATCACTGACAGCTTTATCTAGACGATTGGCAACCCCGTCCTCCCTTCATTATAACATAGGACTCATAACATAAATTGGGAAAAGTGGACAGCATCAGCCTGCTGACGCCCACTGCTGGACATAGGCCTCCCCAATTGCACGCCACTGAGGGATGTCAGGGAGACAATACCATCTTAGTGCCTCAGTCTACCTCATTTGCTCGCGGTGCATCCTGCTGATTAACGAACGAGGCTCTGGCGACCGACTCATGGCGGTATAACCATAAAATGTAGGCGTAGACAAATTCAGCAGACTAGTGTCGGGCAGCAGCGTCACTAGTGCGAGGAGCTACGCCCTGCGATCACCAACCCGCCTGCCCAGCGTGGTGATTATGGGCATTACCACTAATGGCATGCCTAACAAAAAGAAAAGTGGACGTTACATCGTAATTCTGTATCCGTATGTGTAGGCCTGAAGAATTAGCAGGTTTGTGAGTAAACCTACTCAAATTCGTAATTCAGACAGTAAGAGTTCGTGCGAGAATCGAATCCGCGATACATTGTATGGCCACCAGTTGGCCAACCAATGCGTCACCTTAGCAGTCTATTATATTCATCATCATCATCAGCCTATAAGTGCCCACTGCTGAGCAAAGGCTTCTTCTCATGCGGAGAAGAGAGGTTAGAGCATTAATCACCACGCTTACTCAATGCGGGTTGGCGATTTTAAACTTATAATTACAAATTATAAGTCCAGGTTTCCTCACAATGTTTACCTTCACCGTATGTCAGTGGTATCTAAATAATCATAGAAAGTACATATAACTCGGAAAAAGTCACATTGGTACTTGCCAGGTTTCGAACACACACCCTTATGCATGAGAAGCGGGCTCCTTAACCTCTGGAGTACCACGACATTTTATTACTAAAATAAATAGTATTTAATTTCCTGAATGAATGTATACATACCTACCTACTTTGTCTTACACAAAATATCTCAAAATGAGAACTGTAGTTTTGTCTAAGATCTTTTTATTAATTCTGAGGTCTGACTTAACAAGATCCCTGGGCGTTGGCTTATCAAACTCAATAAGGTTGTATTTGCCTTGTCATTCTTTAGTTTCAGGTACATTGGTTGCTTTAATAAAATACACTGAAGACTTAAAGTTCAGATTTTATTGTACGTCAACAACAGAGTTAAATGATGAGATGAACTACGAAAATTCTAAGTCTTTTTTATGAAATAGATCAGCAAACGAGCAGACAGATTACCTGATGGTAAGCAATCAGCTCCGCCCATGGTCACCCGCAACAGAGGAGTTACGAGTGCGTTGCCGACTCTTAGAGGATTGGGGACTTGGAGATTTAGGTATTGGGGAGGAGAAGGTTTTGGCCTCCGGTAACTTCACTCAAACGGCGAAACACAACATTATGGTTGCTTCACGGCTCTTCCACACTTTTTTTATTTAAAAACGTGGCCCTACATTGGGATTTACTCCTGTGTCATGGTTGCGTCCGGATCAAACAAGAGTTTCCAGTTCCAGGAATCCTACCCACGACACGTTGCGGTGTAGCTGTTTGCCCAGCCACCGCGCCAACAGTGCAGTAAATTTTTTGTATCATGTTAACCAACCTTTTTATGGGATAAGGGTCTAAGCTAAGGCTGAGTGGCGATACCTCAGTTCATTATGAACGTATCACCCGATGTTAAGTGATCAGTGCTGCCCACGGAGATCAGGTACGCCAAAAGAGTTACAAGTATGTTGGACACCCCCAACACCAAAGGAGTTACGAGTGCGTTGCCGGCCTTTTAGGGATAGGAGTTGCGGATATAAGGATCGGGAAGGAATAGGGGAAGGGGAGGGATTGGGCCTCCGTTAACCTCACTCACATGGCGAAACAACGCTGTGGTTGTTTCACGCCGGTTTTCTGTGAGGCCGTGGTATCACTCCGGTCGAGCCAACCTATTTGTGCCGAAGCATGGCTCTCCCACACTTGAACTACCACACCACACCAACTAGACCAGTATTGTATTTCCTTATAAGGTCACATAACAAAAGCTTGGTTCAATAAAACAACAGGAAAGGTAAACCATAGGTTTTATTTTCTTAATTAAATATATCCTTACCACTATATCAACATATTCAACATTCTACACCTTACTATATTGGACTCATTCGGCATTGTCATTTGTCGTGTGCTTATTACGTTTTGTGTCTTATTCCGTACGAAATTAAGACTATTTTGTGTAGCAAATGAGGTGAAATGAAAGAGAAAATGTCAAGAAATAACGTAGGCCTGTGAATGTCCTATTTCAGAAACCAAATAAATAAGGAATGAGGTTTGTGTGTTTACAAAAAAAAAACAAAAAAAAAAATCAAAGAGGTGTTATCAATACGGTAGTTTCCAACTAGTCAAATTCAATACTTTTATCCAAATGTCAAAAACGATACTTTTCTATGATATTTGTATGAAAAATTGTAAAAAGGTATGACGTCATAGTATTTTTGCGTCAAATAGTTTACTTATTTCTTAATAATGAGCGACAAAATATCTAAAACTTAGTGTAGGTATCGATCAATCGATGAATTAAAGTATAGTTATTTTTCAATATTTTATTGTATTGAAACGTCGAATTAATTTTTTTTGACGTAGGAAACTACTCAATTCACATTCAATAGTGTTTAAATGATGTTTTAGGATGTTTTACTCCATGACAAATTATCATTAGTCATGTAAAAATCTTTGAGGTTTTTTTTTATTTACTACCGTAAGCGCATTGGATAGGTTTACAAAAGTTACAGCTATTGGCGTTGAGTGCTTATCAGAATCGTAAAATCTATAAAAAACTTCCTCAATAACCTACTACAACAAAATATATTATAATATTTAAATGGTTCGAAAATATGGCTCTAAATAGTTTAGTTACTAGTAATTCGTTACTGCACGTCCATTATAATTAGATCCATTAGTATTTCTTGGCCACGAATTCTTTAATTGATTTTGATTTTAAAGTACAAAAGGCACTTTCATTTTAATTAAAATATGTAAGTACTTATTTAATATTTATTTTAATGTAAAATGATATGGTTTCTTATTTTAAAAATATGCATACTCAACAGCGTAGAGAATTTTGTTCTTAATTTAAAATTTCTTTTAGTTTATTTATTTTAATTCATTCTGCCATCATTATTGCATTAATAAAACAAAGAAACAGTTACCTTGAGAAGGTCTCTGATTGTTGGAGCCCGTGTTACTGATCACCAGGCAAACTCATTGACTCATTCTAATAATATTCATAAATCAAATTGATTATGTATGGCATTGCCTTACAACATTACGACGGGACTAGTTGACAGCACGGTCAGTCTAGCTAAGCTTCGGAATAACGTCAGCGCCGCCATCTTGGACGACAGATTTTAAACGCCAACGGTGGAAGCAAGACGCACTCTGACGAATCACGTTTAATCCACTTCATCTTATCGTTTACCCAAATACTAACGCAAGATGGCTGACAATTATGAAGAATACCTTCCGTCTATACATATAATTTATTCTTAAGAAAACGTGGCCCAGAAAATCCAAATTTAGAAGACAATATATCAATAAAAACTAGTTATTGCTACAACAGCATATCTCACTAATATGTCGAGTTTAAGGCAACACATTATCAGGAGTTCCCATCTTTTATACCACGGAACGTTCATACAAAAGTTACCATAAGTTGAGAACCCCTGCATCAGATGACTAGAAAAAATCTCTTTGTAATCTTTAAAAATAGAAGAACAGCTAACGGTCCACATTCAGCTCAAAGCCATCCAGAAACTACTTTTCCTGTGGCTTTTGACTTGCCTCTACCCCTTCCATACGGAGAAGGAGCTGGAGAAGCTGATGGGGATGGACTAGGGCTGACTCTTGCAGACCTTGGAGTGCTGGACCTCCGAGGAGACCTCTCAAGTTCACTAGGATCCGGAGTGACAGTCACACTAGGAGGTTCTGATGTCATTTTCTTGTATTGAGTCTCTAAACTTGAAGCTGATAGGATTTGTTCAGACTGGGAATGGACGCTAGGAGTAGGAGTGATGGGTTTCTGAAGGTTTGAATCCTCTTCTTGTGTGATGTATAGGGTCTTTGTCGGAGTGTCCGGTTCTATAGTGATGATGTGGTCTTTGGACTGGAATTCTGCTGGTGGCGGTAGACGGCTGCCGTCAACTGGGTCGAATGCTGGTGTGCTTGGTTCTGAAGGTTCTTGTGATGAAGATTTTAGAGGTCGAGTCTGTTCTGATCCACCTTCTGAAGCTGAGAAAAAATAGAAAACATGATTAATTTTTAATTGTACCCGTGTCTTATCTATTTGAGGTTTCGGCATTAGATTTATTATAAGTATGTCATTAAGCAAGAGATGTAAAGGACATACGCTATGTTCCTCTATTTAAAACTTATATAAAAATTAGGTAAAACTTTGTTAAGACAACTAATTTACTTTAATGGACATTCAGTCAAATCAATGGCAAAAGACACGTCAACTATCAACAAATAATGGGTATTAAATTAGTAAATGCATTATTACAACCATTCACTTATTAATTTCTGTTAGAAGCCGAGTTAGTGATAGTACTCACAACCTCTATTTAGACAACATTTTATCCAAACAAATACAAATTTATAATTATCGAAAGGTCATTGACATTTTGCCAGTCACATCAAATTTTCGCCATCACGGATGAATAAGCACGAATGAATTTTCGCTCACAGCGAACGGCCAAGGGTAACACTGAATATTCGCGTTTAATAATTCGTATTCCTATCACGCCTATTATAATTAATTCATCGTGAATTAAGTGTGAAATATTTAATTTAATATTTGTTAGGTCTACAGTTATGGGACAATGCTGTTTTACGGCATTGGTGGAATTATTCATAAGATGCTTCAAGGGTTGTGACCTTTCGATATTAGTCCCTGGTTGGATCTACTGCTTCTGTATAGCAGATTATTCGTAGGTCGGTTGTAGTAATTCCCATTATTTTAGCATCATCTGGCAGCCTAACTTCACCCTTGGTGAGTTGTAGCAACAAAACTATTTTTTTCTCTCCCTCTCCTTTTATCTCTCTCTACCTGATTTGAAAGTTGAGATGAGTTTTCTATTGGGGAGGAGGGGAAGGAGCATCTTCTTTCATTCTTACTGATTAAAATAATTTCGTTCGTTCTCCTGCTATCTTCTGGGATTGCAGTATATTATGGGACTGTAGCGACATCTATCCCACAACCAGTACAACAGCACCAATCACGTACGCACGCACGTCGCGCCTACATCGCGCTATAAGAGTTCTCATCACAATTAAAACATAATATACAAAAATCCCGACCACAACAGTCGGGCAGTAGCCCACCAGGCACGAACACCCCGCCTGGTCGGAGGATCCTTCCTTTTCAATGGAGGATGAGTAACTTTCCACCATGTTCCTCATACCTCTAAAGGACTTATACTGCTAACCTTGGCGAATCAGATTCAGACCTACTATTTCATTTAAAATAATTCCCCTAGGCACTTAATAATATACTTAAATTAAAATTTATTAGTTTACCACACGTGTTAAGAAATGTTTTAAAACAAACACAATAACTTCACAAATATTTTGTTATAAGTTAAACAGCAAAGGTTTTTGTAATTTTCAATGTTTACCTAAGTCTTTGCTTAGCAGAGATACTGTTCAGTTCTTGTAGCTTGGTCTTAGATTTTCAGGCTGTAAGTAAGTTTACAGTAAATTACATCTACAGTTCATTTGTTTTTTGGATCATAAGTCCCTTTGATTCGTCTCTGGATTCAGCTACAATGCTTAAACACTAACGAACTGTCTAATGAAGATACTATCATTTCTGGTTAACTAAGAGTAGGTATGTCTAGGTAATCTTGGTATGTCTTTTCATATTAAAGAGGTCGTATAAAATACTTATATAGGTACAAAGATTATTTAAATTTAGTTTATTAGCTAATATCAATTCAGATAAATACCTGATTGTAAATATTTAGTTACCTAACATAACCGAAACGGATACACCGTTTATGGTCAAATATATTTTTAAAATGGTACATTAATTTCAACTAATTACATTCAATACTCTTATTGAATGTAGTGATGACAAAATCTAGACTATTCTATGAAATTGCAACATACGACGTAATCATTTTATTGTTAGGTAAATACCATCCCTTTTTAGAAGAAAAGTTAAAATAAAACGTTTTAGGTAATTTTATTTCGACCTAAGGAGCTACAAAATAAAAAAACAAAATGTATATTATATTCCCGAGCTAGAAAAAAATGTGATAAAATCATAAATAAAAGTATGATTAAGTTTTAATAATTCATTGTATTGCAAAGTTAAAATAATTTAATTTTTGGCTTAGAAAACTATCTAATAAAAGTGTCTATTCCTTAGCTAGAGAAAATATGTGATTAAATTAATCATGATACTGTACCTTTATCCTCAACATCCGCCTCTACTTGTATTTCAGTTTCGTTTAGGCCCTCGTCGTCTGAAGTTTCAGGTATCGGTGTCCGACTACGGAATGATCGAGCTGGAAGCATACGTAATCAAATTAGTAAAATCCCTATTATTGTTCAGCAAGATAATAATTATATTTTGTCTTCATCACTACGTAATAAAACAAAGTCGCTTTTTCTATCCCTATGCATGTTTAAATATTTAAAACTACGCAAAGAATTTTGATGCGGTTTTTTTAATAGATAGGGTGATTTTTTTATGGTATAAGTCGGCAAACGAGCAGACGGATTAGCTGATGGTAGGCAATCGGCGCCGCCCATGGACAACCGCAACACCAAAGAAGTTACGAGTGCGTTGCCCAAATAAGTTAACATTCGGAAAAAAAATACCGATCATATCGATTATTTAAAAAACGCCTTCATAGAAGAACTACCGATTTGTTTATTACGAAAATTTGAAATGAGAATAACTAAGAATGCATGAAGGCCTGTTGTAACTCAATATTCTAACCAAAATATTGAACACGTATTATCATTTCATTTTGGGATATCAATTAGGCAAGCGTACGTAATTAATATCGTGCTTTTGTTTGGATATTGTTACAAGCTATACAAATTAGAATTTCAATTATATTCCATTGTGGATAACGATAGGGATGTTGACTTATTTGTATTTTGATGTCCATCTTTTGCATCAACTTAAAACTTTGGAAGATATGTTGATTTAAAATATTGTGTTCTATTTGTGAGGGAAAAATCATCAAATGACTTCTCCGTCATGGAGTGTCAGACTCTTACTGACTAACAACACCCCGTTCCTTCTCCTGCTCTGGGCCGAAGTCGCGGTGCCTTATTGCGCTTATCTCGCAACCCCGGCTGAACATCAGCCCTATAGGGCCTCGTCTGTGGTGGTCTATTGGCTCTATGAGGCGCGCGCGGAACACTGCGCGCCGTACGCTCGGGTCTGGTTCTGGTCGGGCGGCGAGCTACCCTTACTCGCCGTCCAAAATATCGTGTGATGCCACGATTTAGTACATTTAATACTGAGTGGTGATATTGCTTCCATCTCGTTTGATATGAGTACTCGTATTTGTTTATCTTATACGGCAAAATAAAAATTTGGTGACAATTTTTTTTTTTTTATACGGAAGGACGGCAACGGCTTTAACAATCGCCCGCAACATGTAGCAGCTACGAGTGTATAGTCGACCTTTTAGGGATTCGGGTTTCGGAGATTTAGGGTCTGGGGAAGAGGAAGAAGGATGGTGCTTTCGGTACCCTCACTCACACGGTGAAACATCGTATGAGTGTAGTTACTAAGTGAGGTGAGGTGAAGCGAGGTGTTCATCAGGAGACCAGTGCTGTGGTTGTCTTAAGCTACATAATTTTTGTGAGACCGGGGTATCATGGCTCTCCTACAATTATCATATAAACAACATACATATATTTATTTACGCGGGTATTAACGCGGGAAATTATTATTTGAATACCTTTGTAGGCTTGACGTTTCGACTCGGTTGCACAGGTCGTGGTCACAAACAGACTGACCTACCAAGGTATTCAAATAACAATTATCCGCGTTAATACCTGCGCAATTAAATATACCTACAGGGTGTAAAAAGACACTTAACGAAGCCGAAAGCCACGTATTCTACCCATTATTTGGATATTTTTTTTCTTGAAGACCATAGCTGGGTCTCCACGGATTCTCGAGATATTGAAGGTCAAAGATGCATTTTTATTTTATATTTTTTTGCGCAATCGAATTCTAAGTATTATTACAAATTTTTTTTCCAAACAAACATTACCTGAATTTTAGATTTTTCTAAATATACGCATTTGAAGTTACGAACAGTAATGTACGTAATAAATAAATGCACACCCGCACAAAAAACATCGTGCATCTCAGTAGGATTTTTATTTTACAGAATTGTTTTGTTGTTGCGAAGTAAAACGTCGACCTACGCATATCGCATCTCACAGCGTTTTAATGCTTAGCTGTGAACCTACGCACACAGTGACACAAAATCCGTTTGCTTTACATTGCGCGCAATTTTTTTTTTTTTTTTGATACCTAAAAATAAAAGTCGTTTCCCAGTGATACTTTTAGCGTAAAGATACTTAGTTAGAACTGCAGTATACGTAGTTAACGGCTTCGTTAAGTGTCTTTTTACACCCTGTATGTTGTTAATATGAAACGCGAAAGTTTAAAAGTTAGAATTATCATATATTTGACTAAAAGACTAATTTGATAATAATGAAAAATATTAAGTCCATAAACCCCCAGATCACTTACTACTGCATCTCTTACAGCTGTCCTTCTTCTTTGGTACATCAAAGACTTCATCTTCTAGACTGAAATCAGAAGACCTTCTGGATTTTTTCTCTCGCTCAGTGAAATCTGACTTGATCTTGCTCCTCATGAACTTGGCGTAGGCTACCCTCGTGCAGGGAGATACGGCTGCCAGTTGTGGATTGTATTCTGAAAGAAAAATTTTCGGGCTTTGAAGACAGAAGAGTATTTAATTTTAGTATTGTTAAGAAAATATCTTTTTGAGTCAGACATGGGTCTTGAGTCACACACATAAACAAAGATCTGGAAAGTAACTCATATTTGTTTTTTGAACATTATAAATGGTTTTTACTTCTTGGAGGGTGATCAAGGAGGTATGTTTAGTGAATAGGGAGCAACTAAATTTTGCTCAGATCGGAAATTATAGAATCCTATGCCAGGCAAAGTGATCAAACCTGGAGGGCTACTGCCCAGTAGTTGAACGTGGAGAACTTTCAGAAGCAACTTACCTAATAGTTTCTGTGGGTCAATAGTTCTAGAGGAAATGTTATCAAGGATGTGGAGTCTGAGTGACTGGCGACTCCTCCTAGTCTGTGCCTCAGCCGTGGTGCCTATAGGATCCTTGCGAACAGTGTTCGTTCGAACCAAAGCGTTCCAATCTCGTTTTTTGCTAGAAAAGATAAAGTAAGTTGATATACCGTTTACTATGACAGACATTCTGTCTTTTTGGTCCAGTAGACGCAAGCGCGGCTGTCGAGTAAGCAGATCGAATTCGACACTTTTGTCAAGTAAATTATTCTCAGTGATTTTTCATTGAATAATATAATAATAATGAATGGTTTGATTATTATGTCGTGGTGGCCGGAGGTTAATGCGCCCGCTTCTCAATGAGGGTGCAGGTTCGAAACCTGGCAAGTACCAATATGACTTTTTCCGAGTTATATGTATTTTTTATGATTATTTAGACACCACTGACATACGGTGGAGGTAAACATCGCGAGGAAACCTGGACTTATAATTTCTAATTATAAGTTTGAAATCGCCAATCTGCATTGAGCAAGCGTGGTGATTAATGCTCAAACCTTCTCCGTGTGAGAAGAGGCCTTTGCTCAGCAGTGGGCCCTTATAGACTGATGCATCAATGGTTTGAAATGTAGCCACCCTTTCTTACATGGTAGTCATGATTTAAAAAGTTAATATATATGCACATACATTGTGTAAACGCACCTCTGGCCTAACTTTTTCGGGTTTATGAGGTAGCGTCATGTATTATAAAATGTCATGATGGATTGATTGATCACATCATTAGCCTCATAAGGTCACACTGCTAAACAAAGGCGTCTACTCAAACGGAGAAAGGTATGCGATTTTTAAAATTATAAGTCCATATTTCCTTACGATGTTTTCTTTCACCGTTGGCAGAGGTGCAAGTACCAATGTGATATTTTCTAAGTTATAATATGTACTTTCTAATCCTCACTCAACTCTGGAGTGTAATGATTTAGAAATGTATTACTTGTAATCTGGTCTTCAACTACTTATTCCGATAAATATAAATTTCTTTTGGTCCCGACACTTCATGGCGACTCTGCCAGAGGAGCGGTTTGGGTGCACGCGAATGTTTGCATTTCGTTGCCCGATAAAGGAGTTCCGATAAATAAATATGTAGTTTCTTATACTCCCGAAACCTAACTCACCGTTTGTCAATGATGTCTAAATGCACATTACTTGGGAAAATTTACATTAGTACCTTGCAAGATTTCGATGCTAGGATTCGAATAATCATTACGATTATTATGTACTTTAAAATTAACTTAAGTGAATGTCTTCATACCCATCCGTGCTTCCCCTCCTGACGATGGCTTTAGCAATTTGGCTGAACACATCCTTGGGTTTATTCTCTTTGGATATGACGTCCTTTATGATGCCTTCCACTATTCCAATGTGGAAGTCTTTCAGAATTCTTCTCTCCATCACTTTGCCCTTTTTTCCAGCAACTAGAACATAGAAAAACCTTTCAATATTGAGTTACATTATGTATAGTATTTTACTTTTTGTACTAGCATAGTCCTTTTTGTAGACAACCTCTAAACTGAGAGATACTCTAAAACGCTTGATTTGATTAAGCAAAATGATTGAGTAGGTATTTGTGATGCGTTTAAATTATTGCACAAAATACTTAAATAACATGAACATAAAATAATAAGAAATGAAACAATGTATGGCTCATTAACACGATGCAATTTTCTTGAATAAACAGGAGCAATGATTGAACTCAATTGGCCTTATTACAAAACAAGATTTTTTTCCATCCAAACTAATATTATAAATGCAAAAGTAACTCTGTCTGTCTGTGTTTTCTTCACGCCTAAACCGTTGAACCGATTTCTGTAAAATTTGGTATAGACATAGTTTGGAACTCGAGAAAGGACATAGGATAGTTTTTATACGAAAAATCTGCAAGAAATCACTATTCCACGCGAACGGAGTCGCGGATAAAAGCTAGTTAGCCTATTTTTAAACCATTTAGCTAATTCTTGTATTTCAAATTGAAAGTAAGTAAGAATAAGATTTAAAATACAAAACCTGACTCAATAGTTTACACTTAGACTAAAAATTACTCATGTTTTGTAATATGGGGGCTTACGTTAAGGCTCGTTTACATTTTATCATACGTATTATTGAGATTAGCGAGTCAATAGTAGCTTATACTGGTTGTATGCAAAAGGCAAGTAACATCGTGTAAATGGGGCTTTAAAGAGAGCAGATAGCAATTATTTTGACTAATTTCCTTTACCTCACACAAGCATATCTACAACGCTATACTAACTGCATTAGGCAAAAACCCAACAAAATTACAGCATGACATTAAAGACTAGCTATTCTCGCACGGTTTTACAAGCTACTCGGCTACATATGATCGTAGCGTGATGTTTTATAGCCGATAGCACTCAGGAACATTGTAGCTATCTATCAGTGAAAGAATTTTGGCAATCCGACCAGCGGTTCCAAAGATTACCCCCTACATACAAACTTACAAATTTTACCTCTTTATAATATTAGTATAGATAAGAGTAAGTAACAAACGGTATACAATTGGACACTTAACTTATTCAAAAATATATTATACTGAGTTTTTAAATACAACTAAATATTAAAAAATACTGCCATTTTCATTGGTTGACTGTGCTATATAGGGGATATCACTACTGTTTTCTAATGGGTTCGTTATCCTAATATTGTAAAAGAAAAACAATTACTGAACCACGAACCTTATATTATTGATATACAAACATGGATTGGAGATAAAGAATCGGCATTGATAGAAAAGTTATGCCTTAGCGATTCTTTTTGGCTAATCAACGAAACAATTGTTAGTTGTAGACAATCAACCCCAGTTTCCTTTACCTAGTAGTATTTTTGGGCTTATTTTCAAAAAATAATTATGCTAAAAAGCATGATGTTACAAATGTTAATTTTGACTATTCGAAAATAGTTATGAATTTTATTCCACGTTTCCAAATGCCTTTCAAGAAGAAAAAGAAAGTGCTCAATTAAAATAACCATAGACCACAATATACCAAATTAACTACCAAATGATTAAAATGAATAAGTAATTAGTTATTGTTAGCATCAAACCTCTGAAAATTAATCGTTGTTAGTAGAAAAATGTACACACCCTTACCGGTGGCGTCTTGCATACTAATCCTGGGGGTTTTCATCCCATTGTTATGGAGGATATCTATCAGCTCGTATCGCAAAGTGGAGATATCCTGTCTGATCTCCATGACGTCATCCTCAGTGACTCCTGTCTCGTCTCTGGCTCGCTGTTCAGCTGTGACGTATCTTCGGACTAGGACCCTCATCACGGCTTCGTGTTCCTGACGGGCTTTTTCGCGGGACTTGTTCTGAGGAAAGAAGGTTTTATTATATGGACGTGCCTGCAGATAGAAATTATAAGTCTAGGTTTCGTTACGATGTTTTCATCATATATTATGTCAATGGTATCTAAATCATCAAAATCACCATAGAAAGTACTTAAAAAGTCACATTGGTATTTGCCAAGTTTCGGACCTGTGCCATCATTTTTTTTTTTTTTTTTGTGTAATGGCTCGGCAAACGAGCAGTCGGATTACCTGATGGTAAGCAATCAGCGCCGCCCATGGACACTCGCAACGGAGGAGTTACGAGTGCGTTGCCGACCTTTTAGGGATTAGGGATTTGGAGATTTAGGGATTGAGGTGGGATTGGGGAAGGGGAAGGATTGGGACTCCGGTAACCTTACTCACACGGCGAAACACAACGCAGAGGTTATTTCACGCCGGTTTTCTGTGAGGCCGTGGTATCACTCTGGTCGAGCCGACCCATTCGTGCCGAAGCATGGCTCTCCCACACTTCCCTCATGCATAAGAAGCATAAGAAGTCCTAACAGTTTGTAAACATTTTTGAAAAAGGTTGAATAGATTGAAATCTATCGTAAGTATTAGTTTTATCGGCAGCTTCGACTATTAGAATCAGGATGTCAGGGCACTCAATAAAAAATCAAAACACAAAGTACCCTTAATATTTCTATTACGATATCTTTATTCTATATACCGTAACCAAATTAGAAAGATACTTACTATTATGGAACCCCGATCCCTGTTGGAACAGCAGCGTTTGATCCAGCACATGAAGTGTTTTGGCGTTGGAATGATATTGAATGGAGGGGGCACTGTATCTCCATCTTCAAAATACGACATCCACAAATTGCTTCGGGCAAATTTCCACTCAGTATCCGCTCGTTCCTGCGACACAATAACATATCTTACCACCTTAGGAAGAAGGGTGTTATTTGCTTATAAAAAAAGTGACAAGATGGCGGAAGCTTCCCGATTCTGGAATGTTCTATGAGGTGTGTATTTCATTGGTAATATAATGATATCATTAGTTCCGTTACATAATATTAGGAAGGTTTTCCTTGAACAGGTATCGTCTCATATTTCATTGTGATCGAGAGAGCTGGGAGTCGTAAAAATATAACAACATAATATCACGCAAATGAAGTAAATAGGTTACAAGTATTTAATTTGTTTTTATATCTGTCTAGTAGTTTTCTGTCAACCAAAAATGTTCGATGTCGTATATTTTGAAATATCATGTGACGTTACAATTTATATTGCGAGGTCACGTGGCGACCTCTCTATTCTAAAATTAAATTTGCTTTATATGTGTGTGTACCTATTATTTTAATTCCACCAATAATGACACCATTTTTTTACTTTTCATACCCTGTCATCATCCCTATTACGCTAATATTGTCTGATAAAATTAAAGGCTAGACTAGCCTTCCCCTTCCTTATCCGTCCCCAATTGTTAAATCTCCGAAACACTAATCCCCAAAAGGCTAGTAACGCATTCGTAACTCCTCTGGTGTTGCGGGTGACCATGAGTGGCGCCTATTGCTTACCATCAGGTAATCAGTCCTTGTAAATTTTCCCATAGTGACATAGATTTTTATCTTGATCTAGTAGTTTTGTAGCCTGTGAAAATCTGTTAAAACTTTAAAGGCAAACCAACCGAAACTTCACTTTAACTATATTAATTTAAGAGACACTTACCGAAATAATCTGATAAGAGTTAGACATCATGGCAATCAGCATATTCAGGAGCACAATGATGTTAATCACGGAGTATGATCCGAAGGTCAGGAGTGCCCAGAACCTGGTGAAGCTCTTGATGCCGGTCAGCTCGAAGGTGGTCAGGTCTACTAGACCAAAAGACGCCCAGAACAGAGACTGGGAGGTCTCAAATAGGCTAAAAAGGAAAACAGTGGATTGAATTGAATAGAATTTTCGTTTTCAAAAATTTTCCCATTGTTGTTTTAGCATGAACTCATAAATTAAGTTGGATGATGTCCATCACATTATTAAGGAGTGTAACAAATATAAACAAGATTGCGAGGGAGTTACTTTTAAACAATATTGAGTTTTTTTTATGAAAACCATCAAATGATTTCTTTTGCCCAGAGTAAGGTGCGAGGGACTAAAAACCTAAAACCCAATTCCTTCCCTTGATCTAAGCCGAGCAAGAAAAAAGCAAGGCATAGCCTTAAAGTAATGCACCAAGATTTATTGTAGATAATGTTATTGTTGATTGGTACGTTCGGGTTACGATGGCGGAGGTTAAGATCCACTTAAAAATATGTATTTCAAAAAAAGCTTATGTGGATGTAGCATGTCTTCTGAAAAGTTATTTTAGATGCCATCTTATAAACTATAATACTTTGTCTGTTATATTTCTTACTTAGCATATCGTCTCCATATTGTGCACGCTCGTTCTTGACCGTCAAAGTCAGGGATTCCATTTGGCAGGTGATAGCATTTGTTTTTCTCCAGTTCAGCGTAGTACCACATAAGTTGATTCAAACCTGTACCAAGTAATTACTTTAGGTAATTCATGATTGACTAGATTTTGCAGTTGTGTAAATATGTAACTTAATATATTTCTATAGAACTCGACATTTCTTGATTCCTAAGAAAAGTCAACATCATAAAATTTGGTCTAAGTGAAAACTCTAATTCGGTTGCATGGTTAGCGCGACGCCTGGGCAATTGGCTGCCGTGCAACGAAACAATTCTTTGTGTGACTCACAAATTGCTTTTTTTCCGGATCTGGGTGTGATGTGTTTGTGATATTGTTGGGTTGTAGAGAGAAATTCCCAACGTGTACTTAATATTTTTTAACGAAATGGAATTCCGGCTTACCACATCCAAAAGCAAACAACACCAGCATGTATACGAAGAAGAATTTCAAGATGTCCAGGATCATCCGCCCAAGGGATACTTGAAGGGGTCCAAGGTAAGGGTTGATGGAGAAGATATGAACCAGCTTGAGGAAGGAGAATATCATGCCGGCTGCAAAAGCCCCCTCTGAGAGCAGCATGGGGTCGTATGAGTCCCATCTCTCTCGAGGATACCAGGGGTCTGTTCCGGAGTTGTAGTCTCGCTGTTGGTAGAAGAATTAAGTTAAAACAAAAACAGAATATGATAAGTTTTTAAATGTAATTTTTCAGAATTTTGTTAGAAAATGTGCAGTTCCGATTGACCAAGAAGATATGAAAAATTAGAAGAAGAGAATTAATGCATTGAAAACCTTAACCTAAAATTGTTTGAAATATCTTTCCATAGCAAGTATTTCTTAGCATTTTTCTTATTTCAATCGTTTAATGTAGTCAGAACTCACAAAGTTAATGACAGAACTATATGATTACTCATCCATTTCCCCATTATTGCTAAATCAGTTGTATATGAAACAAATTGTATATCAATTACAATTCTGGAATTAACATCAATCAAAACTTACCTGGACAATATACCAAGAAGAGAATCTTAAACTGATCCAGGCGATGTAGAAAGCGTTTGTGATAAAGTCCACAATGTTCCATAAGTCACTGATATACTCTGTGATACCACCAGTCCATAGCGATCTTATTTCTGCCCAGATTAAACCTGAAAAAGAAATAATGTTACATTCTGGAGATAGCAAGAATTCATTTTTTGGGTTTTTTCACATAAAATATTTTAAATTGCAGTTCTTTTTATAAATTTTCTTAATTTTAGTTGTGTCTTTTATTAGTGTGTGTGTTATTGTAGAAATACAAATAAAATGTAAGTGAAAGAAAATGGTGAAGTAAAAACAATAAATAGGTTTGTAAGAAGTTAATAAAATTAACTTCATCAATTTCAACTTCACCATTTTCTTTGGTGATTTGATGAAAAAAAACCAGAAGAAGAAACAAAAAGTCCTAATCAGAAGTGCACAATAAATACGTAAAACATCAAATACAAAAATGAGAAGACATTTATACAATAATGAACGAACATTTAAAAAGTCATTGCAAAAAACCGCAATATCTAATCATTGATAATATAATAATAACAAATTATAGTCATCTAAATATCAAATATCACAATCAAAATTTTATTTGAGACAGAATTTTTAATAAGATGATCCTTTATTCAAAATTCTTAATAAAAAATTACAAAGCATTATCGCGAAGAAGACAACCCTGTTCCAAAAAACACCGAAAATAGAAAAAAAAGCATGCCAACAAACGCAAATTTACTTGCTATGTAGATGATGACGCTGAATTCTATGATGCTTGGCAGAGACCCTCGCTCCCTCTCCTTCCAATGGTCCACCAGCTCCTGAAGCCAGGTTATTCCAGACCATTCTAGAACCAGGTAGTCTGCTCGTTGGGATGCTAAGGAGAGAAGAGCTGGAAGGGAAAATGTAGTTACTTAGTGTGTCTTTTCCCTAAATTGAGGGGGAAATACCATCAAATGACACTTCTCCCGCCCTGGGCCCACAATAGCTGCTGTTACGGCCAGCAGTACCAATAACGTTGCTCTACGTGTCCAGATTGCACCACTCTACGAAGGTTGAGGAGATCGTGGAGTACGTGCACGTCAAGACCAAGGAGAGGTTTTTTTTTGGCAGGGGTAAATCATCAAGTGACTTCTCCCGCCCAGGGTTAGGTGAGAGAGAGAGAGTGTCAGACTCTTACTCCGTCTGTGGTGGTCCATTGGCTCTTTGAGGCGCTACGCGCCGTACGCTCGGATCTGGTTCTAGTCGGGCGGCGAGCTACTCTTACTCGCCGTCCGCAGACCCGCGCTCATCATCTCTTGATCCCCAACGAGGGTCGAGAGATTGGAGCCGCGTCACAACACGAACTTCAAGTCGTTTGTGGGATCACGCCTCAAGCCGATCAGTGTTGTTCCGTGCGGTAATCGAACTCCCGATGCGTTTGAGCGGCAGCCATGAAGTAAAAATCCTGGATTCTTAAATTCTGAATTCTTCGAAAAATCCAGGATTTTTACTTTCACCAACCGCGCCAACCGCGCAGTCATGTTATAATGTTTTACTCCGAAATAGATTCAGAAATACAGCAAAATTTAAACATTAAAACTCTTGGTAACCTCTTTAAATCCATTAAGATAAGCAAATCCTTGTGTCAACGTTAATCTTAGAACCGGGAAGCTCTTTTTTTCATTTTCCTTAACAATAAATGCTATTTTATTTTCGTAAATAGGCCACATTACTACCTTTTTCTGTAAAACATCGAGCACTTTAGTGTTAGTGCTATTTCAGAGAAATTTGGGATCTAATCTATACCTATGCGTTAATGTAAGACAATCTTCTTTAATGTGTGAGAGAGAGACAGAGAATTATGTTAGGTGCTCGTTTCAAATATTAGATTCGAATGGAGAAGAACGCGCAGGAAATTCCATCGTAGCTCTTTAAAAAATATATTTAACAATTTTCATTATACATCATTTAGTAAACATTACTGTACCCTTATTTAAGAACAATGCAGTGACCAGTTGTTTCAAAAAAAGAAGAAATTATGGAATCTTTAATTAAATTTAAAATCCTTTATCGTCTCGACCATGGCACTCACATAATAAGCGTACTAACAATGTCAATGGGTAACGTCCTAGTGGAACTCTGGCTAGGTCTACTCACTTGGTCTACTGTTGGGTGACCCGTCAACTTAGTTTAGCAACCAGAAAAGATTTAGATATTGTCAATTTTATACTTACTTAAAAACAGCATGTAAGAGGAGCTATGGCAGATAAATTTGACGAAAGGTTTCTTCATAAATCTGCCGTATTCAGAATTAGGTGCTAACATGTATATAGTGCAGTATACTGGGAACATTACACCGAGTTTTGCCACCTGAAAGGTAATTAAAATGTTTTAATTAAAGTCCTAATTTTATAGGAGACACGCGGCCCGTTACTGGCGTCGAAACGGTTACTGTTTCCAAATTCAGATATGATACATTTTGGAACTACTTTTGTTTAAATCAAATATATTTCTGTCACTGCTAAAACTTTGTCAAAGACAGAGATAGAACGATTTTAAGAAAGGGTCACTATTTCCAAATTTGAATATGATACATTTTAGAAATACTTTTGTTTAAAACAGAGACGGTACGATATTTAACTAAAAGTTTAAATTGAGAACTCTTGGAGTAGTTCTTGATGAAAAATATTTTTTTTTTACAAAATGAGATGCCTACTGCCTAACACATATTAAAAAAATACCTGCACTATACATACATATATTTTTATTACATTTTTTTATTTCTAATATTTTTTAAGAAATAAGTGAGCTATTTCACATAATTTTAAACATTATGACGTCATATGTTTCATACAAAATTCTTATAACATTATCGGTTTTGACATTTCAATTATATATTGAATTTAAGCAGTTGCAAATTATAATATTCCCTATGTAATAACAAATTGAAAACTGCAGTAAGTAATTACCTGTATGCATTGTCCGACGATGTTTTTTCTCTTAAACCCTGGTAGACCTTCATACCATATAGCGCCTAGTAACTGCTGGACATTCGGATGTGCTACGAACTGGAAACAAAATAACACAATTAAAGATATGATACAAGTTATAGGTAATCACAATCACACTTGAAAAAGTGCCCACTAGTCACTTATTTTTTTTCTTTCAAAAAACGTTGCCGCACTTTAGGGTTTTCTTTAATAATGTGAGTGCATTTACAAACATACAATTTCACATTACACCCAGACCCGGAACAACCACTTATGGATCACACAAAGAGTTGTTCGAAATTGAACTCGCGACACGTTGCGCAGCAGCCAGTTGCCCAGCCACCCCGCCAACCGTGCAATCTTTGTATGATCTACCATTTTTTTTTATTGTGATAGGTCGGCAAAAGATTACGTGATGGTAAGCAATCAGCGTCACCCATGGACACCCACAACGACGGAGGAGTTACGAGTGCGTTGTCGACCTTTTGGGGATTAGGGATTTGGAGATTTTGGGAAAGGGAATGGATTGGGGTAGGGAAAGGATTGGGCCTCCGGTGACCTCACTCACACGGTGAAACATAACTCTTTGATTATTTCACGACGGTTTTCTTCGGTTTTGATCTGAGCGTGACCTTGTGACTTTGTAAGCGCACCCACGACAGACAAGATAACCTTAGTATGAAACAAAGTTTCATAAAAATTATAGAATAAAATTAATAGTTCAAATTTACTTCGACGAATACGATAGGTTGACATAGCACTTATAGTTTCGATAGACTAGAGCGTGCGGCGCGTAGAGTTGTTAGACCACCAGAGATAAACCCAATAGGACTGACATCCAGCCGGGATTTTTCGGTACAAATGCAACAATATGAAGAAAAACGAGTTGGTTTATAGTCAGTAAGAGTCTGACACTCATAAAAGGTCACTGGTAAAGGTCATTAGATGAATGCCCCTCAAAAGTCAGAAAATATATCCCTTCGTTCATACAGTCACAGAATTGTAAGCAAAAATAAGTCAGAGTCTCTATAAAGTTTGTTTAGACTACGGTACAGGTGGAAGATGAAAGAACGAACATGTAAATAAACCATTAATAATTCACTAGAGTAGTTTTTAGTGCAACAGTTGACGGCTTTATTGGAGTTTTTAGCTGTTAAAACACGTTAGGAAACTATTTTGTTGATTGAATTAGTGTAAACGTATTGATTTTCGTGTGATTTATTGTTAAAAGTGTACCTATTTGGTATGTAAATGACAAAATTTTCTTACCAGCAATTTTTTTTTAATAAAAACTTTGCCCCACTTTAGGATTTTCTCCTGTGTCGTGGGTGCGGTTACAAACATACAATGTCACATACACATGACACCCAGACCCGAAACAACAATTTGTAAATCATAAAAAGTGTTGTTCCGTGCAGGAATCGAACCCGCGACACGTTGCACGGCAGCCAGTTGCCCAGCCACCGCACCAACCGTGCAGTCAGAAGAATATTGATGTTTTAGGATGCAGAACTAAGATTTTTTTTTTGTGTGATGGGACGTGACGTGTAACCTTCGGCACGAATGGGTCTGCTTAACTGGAGCGATACCACGGCCTCACAGAATATCGACGCGAAACAACCACAGCGTTGTGTTTCGCCGATTGAGTGAGGTTACCGGAGGCCCAATCCTTCCCCTCCCCCGATCCCTCCCAATCCCTAAATCTCCAAAACCATAATCCCTAAAAGGTCGGCAACGCACTCGTTACTCTACCGTTGCGTTTGTCCATAGGCGGCGCTGATTACTTACCATCAGGTAATCCGTCTGCTCGTTTGCCGACCTATTCCATAATAAAAAAACGATCAGACTAAGCAGGAAAGCAATAAAAATAAAACGGAGTTACGAGGGCGTTTCCGACCTTTGGGGAGTACGGTTTTGAAGATTTAGGGATAGCGGGAGGGCACACCGCGAAACATATCTCTGAAGTTGTTTCACGCCGGTTTTCTGAGAGGCTGTGTTATCACGCTGGTTGAGCCGACCTATTTGTGACGAAGCATGGCTCTCCTACACTAACGCCCGGTTTCCGAAAGCCCGATCAATGGTAAAATCAACTAACTAGGTGTCAAATCTCTCGTCAAGTCATCTGATTGGTTGCTGATAATTCAGTCAACCAATCAGATGACAAGAGATTAAACGATTTTAACATTGTTCGGCCTTTCGGAACCCTGGTGTAAGAATTCCTAAGAATTACTTATAAGGTCAATCAAAAACGTTAATAGTTAACTGCTACATGTATAAGTATAAGCTTTCTCTACGCAAAGGGGACTTGCCATAATCTTGTTGTGCAGGTAGGTTAAAGATTGTTAGACTTCACGGTTGGTGCGGTGCCTGGGCAACAAGCTGCCGTTCAATGTGCCGCGGGTTCGATTCTCGCACGGAACAACTCTTTGTGTGATCCACAAATTGTTGTTGTGTGTCTGGGTATTTTTGTAAACGACACAGGAGAAAATCCTAGTGTACGGCAAAGATTTATTAAGAAAAAAAAAATCAGAAAATAAAGTGCTTATTATACCTAGTGTCAATATTTTTTCACATCAAAAGATCTTAAACATTCAAAAATTTCACGTTCCAGAGAAATGACGCCATTGCGTGACGTCACAGTTTATTTTAAATCGATGTTTCGTTTTGATTTTCAATATTTTTGCTTTGAAACGGAAATGCGGTGAGTGGTCGCATTATGATTGCTTTGAAATGTAACAGGTGAAGGAAATGGTCAGAAATAGATTCTCTTTCGGAAAAAAATCATTTTTGATTGATTTTAAAGATATTTACGATATTCTTCCTTAGTTCTTTTTACTACTTGACACATCAATCTACTAATAAGAGAATTTTATTACTTTGTAAGCCAGGTTGGCTTACAAAGTAATAAAATTCTCTGAATAAATCTTAGAGCGGTTTCGCACCAAGTCCGTAACAAAATGGCAGAAAAATCGGCTAAGAAGACAAGGACTGAATTGGGATATTTCTACCTAGAAAAAAATCGGTTGATGGATAATGGAAACAGTTAGTAAAGTACGAAAGAAATAGTTGTTCGGCTAAAACGGAACATATTTTTACGGAATTGGTCTAAGCAGATAATCTTAAGTAAAAAAAACCGCGAAAATAAGGTAGGTACTGTACTGGAAATTGGTTGAATTTATGTTTTGGTCAGGTCTCTGTGAAAACCTTGTAGCTGGGAACGTTTTGACTGGGATCTGGTTGGTAATATAATTGACTGTATGATTCAGGTAGTGGCTGGGCAACCGCCTGCTGTGCAACGTGTCGCGAGTTCGTTTCCCGCACGGAGCATTATTTTTGTGATCCACAAATTATTGTTGTGGGTGTAGGTATTATGCATGTAGTTGTATGTCTGTAAACGCACCCACGCTACAGGAGAAAATCATAGTACTTAGTGGCAAAAATAAAAAACCTCTTATTTTTCTGTTTGAGTCTAGTAAATCGTCGGTACAGATGTACTTATATAAACGTATGTAAATATGTATGTATGTATGTATGTATATAAAACTTGTCATGAGGTCGTAAAACACGCTTATTTATGTTTGTTTTTACGTTAGGATTATAAAAGTTTACATATACTGGTTTGAGTGAAACATGTTCGTATATACATTAAAACTGGTAAGAGTAGATTGAACGTTGAAGCAAAGGGATCCGTATTTATACACAAACAAAAAACGAATAATTAATAAAATTAGGATCGTAATGACCCTATAATAAGGACTATTTTAGACATAGTGACAAGACTTGTCACACTTAGAGTGCGAGAGTCATGCTTCGGCATGAATGGATCGGCCGGAGTAATACCACGGCCTTGCAGAAAACCGACGTGAAACAACCGTGACGTTGTGTTTTGCCGTGTGAGTGAGGTTACTAGAGGCCCAATCCTTTTTCCTCTCCCCGAATCTCCCCTAAATCTCTAAATCTCCGAAATCCTAATTCCTAAAAGGCTGGAAGAGTAGCAACGCACTCTAAACTCCTCTGATGATGCGGCTCTCCATGTCTGACACCGATTGCTTACCATCAGGTAACCCGTCTATTCGTTCACAGTCCTATCATTTTTTTTGTTTGGAAACTGAACCCAAATCTGTAAGAAAGTATTGGGTAAAGTTAATCAGTTTTGATTACTAACCGTCTTTTATGTCGTATAACAATTTCTTAACATATTTCTTGTAACTTGGTTTGCTTAGGAAAATTCTTTCAAGGTTTATGTGTTATCACGAAAAAGTTCTTGATATTAAAAAAAAATCTTTATGGTTCTAAGACTGGTGGAATATAGTAAATGAAATTCTAACTGAAATACATTTATCCTAATCTAGTTTTTAACCACCATTTAGTTTTTTTAAGAAACAATTTTGACGTGTAAAAGTGCTATTTTATAGCCTACTAGCTACTCTCACCCACTGCTCAGCTCGATTTGATCGTAGCGTGATGTTTTATAGCCTATAGCACTCATGACCATTGTAGCTATCTGTGTGAAACTGTGTGAAAGAGTTTTGGCAATCCGACCAGCGCGAGCGGTTCCAAAGATTACCCCCTACATATTAGTACAGAAGTACAGATTTGCAAAAATGGATATCATTGCTTCATTCGAAAGTTACTTCCTGTCTCCTTTCTTAGGAAAATATATTCATTATTATTGGCAAGTCTGATGCAATACAGGTGTTATCCTTTGTTTTGAATGTCTTTAATCATTAAATACCCTCTTTCGGCCTGGGTTGGGTAAGAGTTAAATCATCAAATGACTTCTCTCGCCTTAAATTGGGTAAGAGAGAATGTCACTCTTATCGACTAAAAACCACCTCCTTCCTTTTCCTTATCTGTGCCAGAACACCCCCATTAAAATATCCCGCCTCCAAACCCTTCAAAAAAGGGCATACTCTTTCTGAGATGGTTTGCAAAGAACTTCTGTCTTCTTCTTCACTGAACAGTTTCTATACAAGTGGTTAGCCTGTTAACGTGCCTTATTTTCCATATTAAAGGATTAGTTGCCAAAATTATACCACCAAACTAGAGGTCAAATAACCTATAAAATTAAAGTTTACACAAACGCCGCCATGTTGCCGCAGGAATGAAATATTTTGACCGCATGACGCAAATGCATAAATTTTGGAATCTCTTCCTGGATACCTTCCTAGAAGCTAATTTGAGTGTACGCGTAAATTTTCATCTAGATTAGGATTTTATTTAAGAATCACACATGGGGTTGTCTTTTTTACTAATGAGATATATTTTTTTTATGGAAAATGTCGGCAAACGAGCAGACTGGTTACCTAATGGTAAGCAATCAGTGCCGCCCAAAGACACACGCTACGATTGAGGAGTTACAAGTGCGTACCTTTTGAGGATTAGGGATTTGGAGATTTTTAGATTAGGGAGGGATTAGGGTAGCGGAAGGACTCATTCGTGGCTAAAATTAAATGAACTAATGGCACATTTCATTTTTTACGCATAAAATGAACAGACGATCTGATAAGGGTCGTAGAAGGAGGGATGCTATTTGCTTTCAATTGGCTTATGAAGTCATTGGGGAAAACCTATGTTCAGCGATGGACTTTTTGTAGCTGATATATGTTATGAAAATGATGGTAGGTATGCTACAGATAATGGTAAAATGTGATTCTGAAATGTTAAACTAGTCTCAAACATTACAACAAAATACTTAAAGCTTTTTTCAAAAATTGATCTTATTCAAACGATTTTGGATTGATATTGGCCTAAATTAATTTAGATCAAAATGTTAATTGTAACATTTTTTAAATTCATAAATATCTTTTAATCAATCTTTATTTTCTTACCTACTTGGCTGTCTGCCTGTACACACTCAAAACTCTTTTAAAAAATCTCATGAATACAAAAATGTATTATTTAGTTGCCCTCTTTACGAAAATAATGCTATCGGCGCTGTGAAGAAATACTCTGTATAATCAAGTTATAAAAGTTAATGTACATTATTAATATGTTTTTGGAAACATTAATTAAATTCTTCAATAAGAGTTACCCAATGATGACATGTTTAAAAAAAAAACAATAATTAGGTGTTAAAAGTCAGACAGTCTTAATAAAAAAGGTAATTAAATAAGGAACCACCAGCTGCTATTTTATTTTGTGAAATAATGACTTGCTGCAGATTTTTGGTATAAAGTCCCATGTCCTTTCTCGAGTTTCAAACTATGTCTGTACTAAATTTATTATGTACAAATTACTCCCGAGTGGTTTGACCAACTGTTCTGTTCCTTCAGATTGTAGCGTGATGTTTTAGCCTTCCCCGATAAATGGGCCAACAAATAAAAAAATAATTGTACAATTCGAACCAGTAGTTCCTGAGATTAGCGCGTTCAAACAAACAAACTACAGCTTTATTATATTACTAGCTTTCGCCCGCGGCATCATGGTATGTTGATAAAAAGTCCGGAATAAGCTATGTCCGATTCCGTGTATCCTATGCCTGTGCCAAATTTCATCTAGATTCGTCCAACCGTTTTGGCGTTATTGAATAGCAAACATCCAAACATCGCAACTTTCGCATTTATAATATAAGTAAAAAGTATACATTAATATTAGAATCCTTATCATCCTTACCATTTTCTGCTTGTACTTGATAGCCAGCTTTAATCTGCCAAGTGTTTGCCGCTCTCCAGGCTCCCAGCAGTCCACGTCCCAAGGGTTGTAGTTCAGCATGATCTCCAGCTCTTTAGAGGTTCTTGTGTGGTCCAGCAGGGAGGTGGCAAACTCCTGGCATTGTTGACGTAGAGCCTAAGGAGAAGAAGACTGATATTTATTGACAGAAATTGTGTGTTTTGATTCTCTCCTGTAGTATGGGTTAACAAGCATACAATTTCAGACTCGAAACATCAATTCGTAGTACTATCAAAGAGTTGTTCCGTGCGGGATTCGAACTCTCGACACGTTACAGGGCAGCTGATTGCCCAGCCATCGCAACAACCATGCTGTCATATTATAAAGTAACGAGATTAATATTTGAAGTCTGATTAGAGAAGGAACTTCTTGTTAGGTAAATGGAGTTTCAATACATGGTCTACTTGCCGAAAATTACGATAAACAGTAAACAAAGTCAAAGTCAAAATCATATTTTATTTCAACTAAACCATAAATAGGTACTTTTGAAACGTCCAAATAGTATAGTATAGTAAGTAGTCTGTCAGTCTGTTCACCAGTCAAGCTAGGTGCTCGTTCCAAATTGTAGTTTCGAATGGAATGAAGAACGAGAAAGAAAAACCATCGTTGCTCTTTTTAATAAATAATATTATCTTTTACATCTTCAATAATAAATACATTATTTAATGCACATAAGTCACAAACAAGTTGTTAAAAAAGAACAAATGACGGTATCAATTACCCATCATTAAATTTAAAATTCTTTGTAGTCTCGAACATCATTCTACGGCATTAATTCCGCCTATGTGTGCATAAAGCTTAATAAATAAATAAATAAATAAAACATGGCGCTCACGTTTGTATACTGACAATACAAGTAAACAAGAAGCCTACAGTTGAAACATGATCTAGTCATCATTAAACACCGACCTTGGATGGAAACATCCCTTTTTATTTTTTGTAGACTTCCATCCTTTTTTCTTGTGGATATTTTTATTTAAACTAGCAACCAACTCCAACTTTCTGCCCCGCACAGCAGAAACCTTGGAATGATCTTCCGGCGGGGGTATTCCCGAACCGATGCGACCTTCAAACCTTCAAGAAACGAGCGTACTCCTTCTTAAAAGGCCGGCAACGCACGCATCAAGGATCCGTGTGCATTATTCCATAAAAAAATTCTTTTAAAAACCACTTACCTTATACTCCACTCTGAATTCTGTCTCCATTCTACTCAGTCTCCCCAGTTCCCAAGACAGTTGGAAAGCTGTTAAGAGAGGGTCAGCAGAAGAAAGAGCGATTAGAGAGGGAGATGAGAGTGCCCTGTACGCGTTTATGCGGGCTTGAGAGTGACGGAGGGAATCCTCTTGAGAAGACTTTACACATTCGTCACAACCGCATCTGTGTAAGGGAAAATGGAGTTCCATTAGTTAATTTTATTTAACTGCTTTCAAATACAACCTTTGACAATTTGACTAATTTCAAGATACGATATGTGTTCTTATTCATGATCAGCGTTGTGAACCACATACCTATATTATTAATTTTAAATAAGATTTCAAGAAAGTAACAAATACTAAAATCGACCTTAATTTCTTATATTTTCGTCAAGATTTTGGCGCAAATCGGACAGCAACGCTTTATGATTAATGCTAATCTGTTTTCGCCAACCTGCAACGGTTGAAAAATATGGCACATCCTCTTATTTAGAGATAACTGCATAGCAGTGGTTTATCACAGGCTGTCTGGCATAGATTATAGCAACATAGAATCTAATTAAGTTCTTCTTGTTCATAATCCCTTTATTTCCAGAAGAAAAACACCAATGGTCCATTTTGTATTTTGCCGTATATCTGAAGTTACTGAAGGCCCAAAAGCCCTGTTAACACGTTAAACGCCTTGGGGGACATCTGTGTCACGCTAGCGGAGGATTCAAACTCTTCAGTAACCTGACGGCAGTCAATGATTTAAAAAGGCCGACAACACAGTCGTTACTCCTTTGGTGTTACTGGCGTCTATGAAATTGCTTACCATCAGGTAATTCCTCTGCATGACAAAAGTGTCACAAGTTATTATGAGAATGGGTAAATGAAATCTTGATTAAGTACTCTACCTACTTGACGTCGTGTGGCACGGGTAACGTGGCTCCTCTATCCAGCAGGATCTTGAGGATCTCGTAGTGGTTCCTGTGGGCAGCCAGGATGAGAGGTGTGATGTCTGGAGTGAAGGTCGCTGATGATGGGTCCACGGACTCCCAGCTCTGTTAGAAAGTGAGAAGGTGACTTAAGTACCTAAAAATAGTGTTGAGTTGTCAAATAGATATTTTCTGTTATCAGATAAGTTGGCAGACGGTCGCACCTGATGTTAAGCAACCACAGATAACCACAGCAGGAGGTGGAGTTGCAAGTGCGTTGCCGGCCTTTGCTGAGGGTTTTAAGGAGTTTTACGAATTGAGGATAGGGGAAGCACAACCCAAGCTTTCTTTGTGTAAGGCCGTGGTACCACTGCGATTGAACAGGCCTATTCGTGATAAAGTATGGATCTCCCACACGTAATAAAAATAAAGGAAGAGAGAGAAGAATTGTTGAGGAAGTAGTCTTTGTAATTGATATCATAAACCTCATGAGCCGTGATTAACGGCTTACTGCTTTTTACATAGACGTCAAGATATATAGTACGGCTGTCGTATCTTGGCGAGTCTGAAGTTAGCCGATTAGCTGCGCAGTACACAATTTTGTTCCTAAAAGATCCATTGCGCAGATAAACGGCTAACTTCAGACTCGCCACGATACGTCGGCCGTGTAGTAAGTGAAGGAAGATAGTATTACATATTTACATGATTCTTGAATTAATCCATAAGAGAATAATAGACGCGTTACATAAATCGCGACATAAATCTTTTCAAAACAGATAGTTTTATTTTTCTCCTGTATCGGGGATGGGTTTACAAACATACAAAAATTTGTGGATCAAACAAAGAGTTGCTCTTAGCGGCAATCGAAACCGGCATACGTTGTACGGTAGCCGGTTGCCAAGCCACGGCGCTAACACTGCAATCAAATTTAGATTATCTCATTAATAAACTCTAAAACCACATCCCCGACATTTGGCTATCGACCTCCTTTTAACGAGTTGACGTCATAAGGGTCAATGACCTTTATCTCCCGTATATAAATGACGGTTGTGCGACAAACTGATCTCACATGACACTGTGGGCCGCCATTAATATTGTAAGGTGGAATCATTAATAATGTGTTGGGATGAATATGTATTTCAGTAGTTTTCTTGATCGTGATTAATTATTTTTGAAACGTTGCCTCACGCTTGTATTTTGAACTTTATCGTGATTACAAACATACAATTTTACATACACATATAATAATTAATTAATTTTTGACAACAAAACAAAACTATTGTCCATGCAGAAACCTGAACCGCTATCCAAACTAATATTATAAATGCGAAAGTAATACTGTCTATCTGTCTGTTCTTGACGCCTAAACTACTGAACTGATTTGTGTGAAATTTGGTACAGAGATAGTTTGGAACTCTAGAAAGGACGCAGGATAGATTTTATACCAAAAATCTGCAGGAAGTCACTATTTCACGCGAATGAAGTCGCTTCAAAAGCTAGTACATAATATAAAGGGTAGGTATATAAAGGATATCTAGGATTTTACTAACTATAAGGTACAAAGTAAGCCCCGCGAAATGTCATGTGTCGAAGCACTGATGTTGAAATCCTGATTTTGTGATAGAAACAAAAACATGTTCTGAAATCCAAAACAGATCGCTATCACTTTTCAAATACTTCTTTTATCTCTAGTAGTACTAATTGTTTAGTTTCCTAAGCAAAAAAATATTATTTCAACATTCCAAAACATTTATCATCATCAGTCGGAAAACGTCTACATATGTATGTACTTCTAGGCAAAGATCTTCCCCTATGAAAACATAATCACATAAAAATTTTCGCACTTTCATTACCTAATTAATTTAATGTAAACTTAAATTTTCATCTATTCGGTACATCAAAAAAAAAGTATAATGCAATTTACCACAATTTTTTCATAAAAAAAATTCAAAGATTGTCGATTGCCGATTCGAAAAAAAGTATCGAATTTCAACCATTTATACCTATATTTCTTATTATTTTGTTCTTATTGATTAACAAATAATTAATTATATCACTTACGTAAGGTTCACCTGGCACATGATTGTCTTCTTCCCATTGCAGAAGTAACTCCACAGCTTCCACGTATTCTTCTTTGATGGCGTGCAGAAGAGCATCCTGGGAATAGAAGATAATATCAATCAAGAAGATAATATACATTTATACTTTAGCGCGTAATGTAGGTCACTACCACTGCCGCCCTGGGCAGGAGCAGGAGAAGAAACTAAAGGGTTTTTTTTGTGAGGGGAAAATCATTAAATGCTTTCTCCCGCCCAAGGTCAGACGAGAGAGAGTGTCAGACTCTTACTGACTAAAAACCCCCCGTTCCTTCTCCTGCTCTGGGCCGTGGTCGCGGTGCCTCATTGCGCTTACCCCGCAACACCGGCTGAACATCAGCCTTATAGGGCCTTGTCTGTAGTGGTCTATTGGCTCTTTCAACCGCAACGCGCAACGAAAGGGGTGGCTTTTGGTCATTTATATAGTTGATCGTTAATAGTCTGGGAGAAGTCACTTGATAAACAAACGAGCAGACCTGATGGTAAATAATTTGGTCTGCCCATGGATACTTGCGCCTATTGTGGGTTAGGGATTTAAAGGAGGATTGCGGATGGGGCCCTCCCCAGGAGGGAGGCCTCTGGTAACCTCATTTTGCTTCTTTTTATAAAACGTTGCCCCACATTAGGATTTTCTCCTGTGTCGTGCAATTTCACAATTTCACATAAACATCACACCCAGACCCGGAACAACAATTTGTGGATCACACAAAGAGTTGTTGCGTGCGGGAATCAAACCCGCGAAACGTTGCACGACAGCCAGTTGTCAGCCACCGTACTAACCGTGCTGTGAACTGACACGGCAAAGCACAAAGTAAGTGCTTCACGCCTGTGGTATCACTTCGGTCGAGGTAGCCCATTAATACCGAAGCATGGTTTACACTGCTACTTTTGACAGCTCGAAAATAGTATTTATAGCGGATAACGTTTTCAGCCGTGGCCGTAAGCGGTCCAATAGGAGCAAGCCGCCCGACCACTATTCGCCAGCGCCATAGAATTTTAAAATACGCGACAAGTGGCGTTATGTTGCTGGCCACTGGTTGGCCGACAGTTCTAGTTAAGTTATGGCGGACTTTACAGTTTTGTGTGTGTATCGTATTGTAATTTTTGTATAGTTTTATTAAAGTTTATGCCGCGTAACATGACTTTTGCACTGTAACCGACCCACCCCGACTACATATTGAATTTGACGACTTATCAGGTTCTCAATTGCTTGGTAGTTGTGCTTCCTATTACAACCGCCTTGACTACCACAAAAATTAGTTAAATCATCTACATCTTCAGTAAAAGCATTCGTTATATTGTTATGTTTTTATAATAACTATCGTGAGACATACTAAATTAACTAAAAATCGCGGGTCAGTAGGCTGCGCGACGTCGCCGCGTCCGCGCACGCTGCTCATGAGGAAGAACCCCTCTGTGGTTCGAAACTAGTAGAGCTTTTCTCAATATATACACGTGAGTAACCCGCGATTTTCATTATATTGTTTTGATACACATTTCTAGATCGTCGAAATTTTTCTATGTTTATCGTTTTGCTCTATTTCTGTATAAGCGAGAATGATTTACGTAAAGAAATAACTAGTTGGGTAATAAAACTGTCCGACGGCATCAATCAGACTGACTTAACCAAGTAGGTATATGGGTAACAGGATCAGTTGTATATATTTTTTAAATAAATAGGTCGGCAAACGAGCTTTAAGATTACCTGAGAGAAAGCAACAGGCGCCGCCCTAGATAAAAAAATTTGAGTCTGCCATTGAAATTATTATGATAACATTTCTATCCGTAGCTACCAAGAAACACAACCTTAATCAAGAGTCAAAAAACATTTATTTCAATTAGACCCTTAGACAGGCACTTTTGAACGTCAAACAAAATTTCGGGGCCCTATAGGGCTGATGTTCAGCCGGGGTTGCGGTGTAAGCGCAATGAGACACCGCGACCACGGCCCAGAGCAGGAGAAGGAACAGGGGGGTTTTTAGTCAGTAAGAGTCTGACACTCCCAGCCCGGCCCTGGGCGGGAGAAGTCATTTGATGATTTTCCCCTCACAAAAAACAAACAAAATTTTGAAGATATAGTATCAGTCTGTCGGTCAGTCCGTTTAGTGAAGCTATTTGCTTGCTACGCTATTATTTTATAAAAACAAAGTATTTTAATGTAATTTCCTACATTCGTTTACGAAGGTATGTAAAATATTATGACTACATACAAGGGAGACTTATGCTCGGCACGGGCCGGTAACATACTTAACCTATTTATATTATATTGATAACGTTATTTAGAGCGTTGAGTGTAGCAGTATTTGTGGATCGCTTCATTGTTCTATAAATTAGTGCAAGATGCTTTATTTGGTTTTCTGAGTTTAAACAACAAACCTAGTTAAATTTCATTTTGGATTTCTGTCAAAAGTCAAAGTCAAATCATTTATTTCAAATAGATCAACAACAACAGGCACTTTTGAACGACTAGATTTAATTATCGAATAGGTTGGCTCGACCGGAGTGATAAGAAGGCGGCCTCACAGAAAACGAGCGTTGGCCGGCAACCCACTTCTAACTTCTGATGGAGGCGCCGATTGCTTACCATCAGGTAATCCGTCTGCTCGTTGGCCGACCTATTTAATAAAAATACCGTGTTAGCCAGAAACGTGGTTAGATCAATCGAATTGATGCCGTCGGACAGTTTTAATACCCAATCATCCAGTTATTACTTTACCTAAATCATTCTCGCTTGTACAGGAGGCCAATCATTCCCCTCCCCCAATCCCTAAATCTCCAAATTAGCATGTAACTTCACTGTTGTAGCGGGCGTCCAAGAGCGGCGCTGATTGCTTACCATCATGTTATCCATATGCGCGTTTGCCAACCTATAACATAAAGGTCTGTTGCCAGTTTTTTGGGATTTAGGGACTTGAGTTTTGGGGGTTTTGAGAAGATGTTGATTCGGGGATTTGGGGATAAGTTTGGAGATTGGGTATGGTGATGCTGGTAACCTAACCATATAGCAAACTGGAAAGCAAGGTATAGGTATTATTAAATAAGCTGTATTATTCGCTGATAAAATATTATTGGATCATAATACTTGGAAATGTGGTAGAAATTCGTAAACAAATCGAAGGCGAACCGAAGTCATAATAAAACTTATAGTTTTTACTAGTACCGGCGGCGTCATATAAAAATGGAATAATATACTATATTTCCAAGTATTAAAGCTTCAATGGATTTTGTATTTTATTATCAATAATCATAAAATATAGTGTTAAAGTGATCCTTGATCCATTATTTCAAAGTCGCTCTCCTTGTAGTCGTAAAAATTATTTTTTTAAAGTACTTATGGCAAGTTGTAGTTTCGCGTGGGCTGATGTAGTGCTTGTTATTTTAATAATAATAATAAATAAAAAAGTCTTTATTGCAATAATAACAAGAGCGATGTGTTAAAATTTTTATCGTTCAGTTTTAAACACCGCCTTTCGATTTTCGCTAATTTTATCTTTAAATATTTGCGATAAAAACTTACAATTTATATTAAAAAAAAGATCTCATTTGTGGACCTTTTGCCTTAACCTACAAAAACCAATATGAACCTGAGACAATTAAAAAGTCAGACATGGAGCACTCTTTCTTATCATCCAACGATTCCTCCTTAGTAGGGCGAGACCTCTAGGAGAGGGATTGTCAGACTCTAAATAACTAAAAACAATTCGTTTCTCATCCTATTCAGAGTCGGGTCGCGGAGCATTATTGCCTTAAACCACTTCTTTGATCAGATGCAGTAATTTGATAAAGGCTGAAGTACCTTTTTTTTGTCAGGGGAAAATCATCCAATGACTTCTTCCGCCCAGGGTAAGGCGAGAGAGAGTGTCAGACTCTTACTGACTAAAAACCCCCTCGTTCCTTCTCCTGCTCTGGGCCGAGGTCGCGGTGCCTCATTGCGCTTACCCCGCAGCCCCGGCTAAACATCAGCCCTTTAGGGCCCCGACTGTGGTGGTCTATTGGCTCTTTGAGGCGCGCGCGGAACGCTACGCGCCGTACGCTCGGGTCCTGTTCTGATCGGGCGGCGAGCTACCCTTACTCGCCGTCCGCAGACCCGCGCTTACGGTGGCCGGAGATCATCTCTCGATCCCCGACGTCCGGAATGTCGCCTACTGCGGCGGCTGGGGAGGCTGAAGTACCTACGGATCGCATAAGATGGGGCTCTGTGGTTTCTGGCCACCCCGTATAGGACTAAGGACTCATAACTAGTGACCAAGTGATGTTGCATTAAAAAGAAAGAAGAAAGAAAAAATGATAAAGAAAGAAATGAAGAAGGAAAGAAGAATGGGAGATAAAGCACAGAGTAATAGATGGTATTTTTTTTATCAGGTCGGCAAACGTACAGACGCATTACCTGATGGTAAGCAATCAGCGGCGCCCATGGACACCCGCAACGGAGTGCGTTGCTGACATTTTAGGGATTAGGTATTTGGAGATTTAGGGATTGAAGACGGATTGGGGGAGGGTAAGGTATGGGCCTCCGGTAACCTCACTCACACGGCGAAACACAACGCTGTGGTTGTTTCACACCGGATTTCTTTGAGGCCGTGGTATCACTCCGGCCGAGCCGACCCATTCGTGCCGAAGCATGGCTCTCCCACACTTACACACTACTGGTAGTTATAAAACAAGTTTGATTCGAAGTCGACGCCGATTCAGAATGTGCAAGTCAAGGCCTTGTGCTGATATTCTATTAGGCCCTTTATTTGACTAGTGGATGACAATTAGCTACAATACAAAAACAATAGCAAATGTATGTAAAATTATAATGAACTAGCTATACGGTGCGTGATTCGGGACGTAACAAAATAAAGAACTACTACACCGATTTTGAACAAATTTTACATAAACTATAATCTTACTTCTTACTTATATTATAAATGCGAACGATGTTTGGATGTTTTTTACCCAATCACGAAAAAGGGATTGACGGATTTGGATGAAATTTGGCACTAGCATAAAAAACACTTGGGAATAGGACACAGGCTACTTTTTATCAACATACCATGCGGGCGAAGCTGCGGGCGAAAGCTAGTATTATACTAAATATACCGAACAAAGCCTAAAAAAATTTGCTTGGATAGTTGAGCCCTTTCTTGGGTAATAAAATTAGAAACAAAAGCATTGATAGGCATGCGTCCCGTATTTCTCTTCGGTCATTATAAAACAGTAGTTATTTTCGTAAATCTACATACAAACTTTGAACATAAGTTTTACTTCGAAACTATTCCTTAGACCTTGAACAAGTAAGCCATTAGATAATATTTTCTGTACTAGGTACCATCTTACTAAACTTACATAAAAGCCTTCATGGAAATATACTATCGATGTGATCATGCAAACTATTGGGGAGTCTTGATTTCCCTCGGGAAGTCAGTTGTTCTTTACCATCGATTTTTTTACGAAACAAAATAGCTTTTAGCTGGCTGTATTTTATTTAGTGTGACAAAGTTTTTTGGCTCGAATGGAATAGTTTTTTGAGAATTTATGTGACATGATAAAGATAGTATTGTTTTTCAATGTTTGAGTAAGCTGTAAGCACAAAAACTTAAGGTTTCGAAGCCCAGCTGTCCGCTGATTGCAACTTTTTGTGTCTGTGACTTTAGTTACTGTCTCTTACAATACACTTTTTGAAATTATTCTTGAGTGACAAATAGTCGTTTTTGTGTTAATTGTTTACTAAAGCGAAGTAGAAAAAAAAACAAACAAAAATAATCAATTGTGAGCGGACTCCTATAGTAATGTACTTATAGTTCGGCTGACAGTTACGCTGCAAATTAGTCACCGTAGAGTCACGTCACCGCAGTGAGTGCACTCCCCTATATCTTCATTGTACTCAACTCACGCATGCAACGCACTCGTAACTCCTCCGTTGCGGGTGTCCATGGGCGACGATTGCTTTCCATCAGGGACTCCGTCTGCTCGTATGTCGACATTATGACATAAAAAAAGAACTTGGTGATAAAAAATCACAAGCGGCGTGCCTTAAGGTTAGTTTAGATGTATAAAGTTATGATAAATTATTGGTGATTGCAGCGAACCAAAATGTGCGGTAAACTCTTCATCGAAATGGGTCTTTATTTCTATTCTAACTAATATTCCAAATGTAATAGTAAGTTCATTCAATTTTTACCAATTCACATTTTCAAAAAGTTGTCTTGTAAAAATATATTTTGAATTGCAGATAAGTGAGTACATAGGCCAGCAAACAAACTTAGTCTACACTATTATACATTTTTAGTTTTATATAGAAATATAAAACTTTCAATCTTAAAATTGTATATTTGTAATGAATAAACTTAAAAACTACTGCACCAATTGTCAAAACCCTTCCAAAATTAGAAAAATACATTCCAAACGCATAAATGTGGAATTGCTTGAAATATATAAAGAAACCATTACTGCTCATTAAGGCAAAGACGGTAGGGCAAGCTAATAAAGGACAATACCTTGACTTTGATTCCTGAGACGAGTAATAGCTTGATTAGCTCAATGTTCTCATTCTCGATGGCAGCTATGAGCGCTGACCTGTTCAGGGGATCCACGCAGTTTATGTCCAGGACTTCTGGTTGAGATATGTACTGGTCTATCAATCTGTGGACAATAAGACACAATTATTAAAATAAAACATTTTAAGATAAGTTGCAAGAGCAAATAACTTAAATATACAACACGTCTATTCTATAAAATTTGATTTGTAACCTCACTCACACGGCGAAACACGATGCTTTAGTTATTTCACGCCGGTTTTCTGTGCGGTCGTGGTATCATTCCGGTGGAGCCGACCCATTCTTTACCTACTCACATTTAAAACTAAAGAATAGATTTAGTGACCACATGTAATGTACCATGTGTAATCAATAGCTTTATTTTACTGAGGATTAGTAACAAAATAAATTTGTTAAGTTTTCAGTTTTGATAATAAAGTTTCTTGCAACAATCAGATCTATGGCGCTTCCATCTAACAAAATTTCTACGGATGTCATATTTAAGTCATTATTATACATAATTAACTACGACCTATGATCTCCAGTTACAGCCAGCCAGTAGGCTTGAGGGGTAAAGGCGCAGTAAGGTACCGCGGCCCAAGGCTGGAGCTGGAGAAAGAATGGGTCAGTAAGAGTCTGACGCCTCCGTCACCGTCGGCGAGAGACGTCAACAAAAGCAATCATCCGTCCACTTGTCTCAAAAAATTAGACGTAATTAACTATTATTGTCAAATCTATACCAATATTATAAAGAGGTAAAATTTTTAAGTTTGTATGTTTTTATATAGGGGGTAATCTTTGGAACCGCTGGTCGAATTGTCAAAATTCTTTCACTGATAGATAGCTGCAATTTTCCTGAGTGCTATAAGCTTTAAACATCACGCTACGATCAAATCGAGCCGAGCAGCGGGTGAAACCGCGCCAGAATAGCTAGTAACCATATAAACTCCAGGTCTTCTAAATGAAGGTCACATAGGTGACAGATGAGCAAGACAATGTATTCTTACTGTCTCGCTTAGCAACAGAGCAGAAGTTACAAAATCAACTTTACCACACGTAATAAAAACGTTCAAAATTGCAAATAGGTATAGTGGCAAAGGCCTTCATACCGGTAGGTCGTCGATTATAGTGAATCAGTACAAGTTGTGGCTTTTTCGCTTTAATCCTGTTTATTGGCGGGCGAGGTGATCCGTCCTAAATATATGAGTAATGCCGAATGATACCGTTAGTTTTTAGGTCACTACAGTATTCGTTTATTGTTATTTGTGTCAATTTATATTTAACTAGCTACTCTTGCTTGCTTACTTAGCTCCATTTGATCGTAGCTTGATGTTTTATAGCCTATACCACTCAGGAATTTTGTAGTTATCTATCAGTGAAAGAATTTTGGCAATCCGACCAGCGGTTCCAAAGATTATCCCCTACATACAAACTTACAAACTTACAAATTTTATCTCTTTATAATATTAGTATAGACTGTGCGTGGTGGGCTCAGAGTTTTTTTAATGTCATAGTCGGCAAACGAGCAGACGGATTACCTGATGGTAAGCAATTAACGCCGCCCATGGACACTTGCACTCGTTATTACCAAAGGAGTTACTACAAGTGCGTTGCCGGCCTCTTGTGGGTTATAAGGTATTTAGGGATAAGGAACTTGAGCATTGAAGATAGGACCTCCGGTAATCTCATTCACAAGGCAACACACAGTGTAAGTTTTCTGCGAGAATACACGAGGAGAAACTTAGGACATAATTAAGCACTCACACTTTAAAAACATTTGTATTCATTTACTTTATTTCTTGTTTTATAAGTGTCATAAATATAAGAACTCCTTATTTGTAGGTTTACCTCCTTTGGCAAAAAAAAAACTTTTAGGGCTCATTTTTCAATGGTTAGATAAAAGTTATCTGGGGTATGATTATGATGCTGTCGCGTCAGAATGTTTGTATAAGACAGTGACAGCAACAATTTTATTTGACTATTAAATATCAGCCCTAAATAAATGTGCACTTATAAGGAGCTGGCTGCTTATAGCTGGTACCAAGAAATATCTTTATACATATATATAAAAGAAAGTCGTGTTAGTTACTCCACTTATAACTCAAGAACGGCTGAGCCGATTTAGCTGAGAATTGGCAGGGAGGTAGTTTAGAGCCAGGAGAAGGACATAGGATAGGATAGAGTAGGGTAGGTAGAGTAGGGTAGTGGGTAGAGTAGGGTAGGTAGTCAAATGACGGGAGCGACTCCGCGGGTAAGAGCTAGTATGTTATAACCTAAACATGTTTAGTAAATCGATGGTATCGTGCCATACGCTAGTCCCAGGTCCCTGGAGTATTCTGAAACTGCATCATTACATCAAGGAGAAGGACAATAACCAACATGTCTACCTTTAATAGTCCATTCGTTTAGGTAATAGATTGTCTATGTTACTAGGTCAAATTTTAAATTAGGTGTATCAACCCATTAGCATCTGATTAATGTATTAATTTCAAGGTTTTTAATCGAAAGACAAAGGTACCAGGGTATACATTAAACCCACATTTATATCAGTATTTTTTTTATATGTTATTGAGTTTAAAGTAAAAGTTGTCACTAACAATTTTACTGTGAATAAATCCTTGTATTTTTTTTTTATATAACAGGTCGGCAAACAAGCAGACGAATTACCTAATGGTAAGCAATCAGGGCCGCCCATGGACACCCGCAACGGAGGAGTTACCGACCTTTTAGGGATTAGGGATTCGGAGATTAAGGGATTGAGGAGGGATTGGGGGACGGGAAGGATTGGGCCTCCGGTAACCTCATTCACACGGCGAAACACAACGCTGTGGTTGTTTCACGCCGATTTTCTGTGAGGCCGTGGTATCACTCCGGTCGTGCCGAAGCATGGCTCCCCCACACGTAAATAATAACGTAAACAGTGTTGTAAAAGTTTGAAAATTTTTCCATTATTTTCTTTAGGTCGGAAAACAAGCACACGCATTGCCTGATGGTAAGCAACCAGCTGCGCTCAAGGACACCAGATAAAAATGCGTGGCCAGCCTTTGAGGGTAGAAATTTTCAAGGTCATTGGACATGGACGGGGGAGAATTAGGCCATTAGCAACTACACGGGGAAACCCAACGCAAGCGGTCTTTTGCGTCGCTCTTATGTGAGACCATGAGTATCATTCAGGTCGACCTTCTCGTGCTGGATGGAGCATGGCCTTCCACGTTTAAATTACTTTCTTACCTCTTAACAGTAACATAGTCTCCCCTATCAGCGTGTAGAAGGAAGGTCTTCTCCTCTTTGGTGAGTGGTCTCTCGTACACCTGCCGCAGGTCATGCTGGCTGTTCCGCAGGGCTTCCTGGGAGCTGCCCAGCAACTCCTCCCTGGAGCCGCGGTTCATGCCGGTCTGGAAGAAAAGTTAAAGTTAATAATAATAACAGCGTCAAGTTTTTCCAATATACTGAACGGGAGTTTTTAAAGGCACATACACCATCACAGACATGCATTGAAGAGATATATTTAAACTGTGTTACATCACATAATTATGTCATCATTATTATGAGAATCACCTTCATATCAATCACAAGAAGTCCTGATCCCCAATTCTCCTTCTTCTCAATCCCTGTTTGCCCATTCCATCCCCATCATCATCATCATCATCATCATCATCATCATCATCATCATCATCATCATCATCATCATCATCAGCCTATAAGTGCCCACTGCTGAGCAAAGGCCTCTTCTCATACGGAGAAGGTTAGAGCATTACACCACGCTTGCTCAATGCGAGTGGCGATTTCAAACTTATAATAAGAAATAATAAGTCCAGGTTTCCTCACGATGTTTTCCTTCACCGTATGTCAGTGGTGTCTAAATAATCATAGAAAGTACATATAACTCGGAAAAAGTCACATTGGTACTTGCCAAGTTTCGAACCTACACCTTCATGCATGAGAAGCGGGCCCTTTAACCTCCGGGCCACCACGAAAGTACATCATCCCCATTATACCATCCCCAAATTCTCAAAATCTTGGAAATTTACTCACAACTACTGGTGTTGCGTGTGGGACGGTGTTTATTGCTTATCGTTAGGTGATCCGGCCACTGAACTGAACCTTGCCTTATACTAGGATTTTCTAATGAGTCGTGGATGCGTTTACCAAGATGTCACGTAAAGTCGGAACAAATTCCAATGTTTTCTATCTATTTTACCGATCCCTAGTTGTAATAAGAACCGAAAAATATTTTTATCAGACCAAAGTTTTGAAGGAATATCCATATTATGGATCTCTCCGTCCATATGACTGTGTCTATAGCGTAATTTTCCCGGAATTAATTTGTAACTGACACGTAAAAATGTATCGTATCAATACTGCTTACATAAACGTAGTCCAGCCAGTAATGGTTTGCGTGGGCGGCCCAGGTAAAGACGAATGATATGCTAATAGATCTATTACAAACCAAAAAAACCAATCTGTCATAAAAAAACAAGTTCAAAATATTCCTAAAACATTTTAAAAGCTTGGAAATGAGTAATGCTATGAAGATTTTCTGGTTATTCGATGACTAAGGACCTAATTATGTTTTTTAGATAAATGATTGAGTATTTAGATGTGATTCTAGCGTCTAGAATCATTTTATCATATCATTTTAGTTCCAGGAGGAGCCTCAATCCTTCCTCCTCCCAATCCTTTCCATTCCTCCTTAAACGCTAAACCTGCGAAACCCTAGTCCCCAAAAAGTCGGCAACGCACTCCTAGCTCTTCTGGTGCTGCGTCCATGGCCGGTACCGATTGCTTAAAGGTATTATAAGGTAAATCATAGGTTTGTTTGCCGTCCTATCAGTTAAAAAAATGATCATAATCATTATTTTAATGTATTTATTTATTTCTAAAATGATTACAATATTCTTACATCCAGTCTGGCCCCACAGAGAAAACCTCTCTAGGTCTATCTGTGTGCAGGCGAGCCGTTACATATGCACAATTAAATTTACAGATGATGTTGTGTCAGAAAACGCTTTAATTTATACATGTAACTTTTCAAACAATTCACGTACAAGGTATGTAATTCGTCGTCGTGTCGTGGTGGCCCAGAGGTTAGGGAGCCTGCTACTCATGCATGAGGGTGTAGGTTCGAAACCTGGCAAGTACCAATGTGACTTTTTCTGAGTTATATGTACTTTCTATGATTATTTAGACATCACTGATATACGGTGAAGGTAAACATCGTGAGGAAACCTGGACTTATAATTTATAATTATAAGTTTGAAATCGCCAACCCGCATTGAGCAAGCGTGGTGATTAATGCTCTAACCTTCTCCGTATGAGAAGAGGCCATTGCTCAGCAGTGGGCACTTATAGGCTGATGATGATGATGATGTTTGTAATTCTTCTGGAAGTTTGTTTAAAAAGAAAGGTAACTTTGTCATAAAACTTCAACGGTTTACATAGGCGTCCCCTCACTACCAAATCAGCACGCACCTGCATAATTATATTGTGATTAATAAAATGACTGTTTCTGTAATAAGTCTCTGCCTTTTTCTTTCCCCATGCGTGATTTGTATTTGTGTGGGATGCGGGACAAGCACATTATGGCTCCGCGGCCTAGGCCTAGAGCAGGAGAAGGAACAGGGGGGTTTTTAGTCAGTCAGTCGGAGCGGGAGAGGTCATTTGATGCTTTTCGCTTCACAAAAAAGAGACTGGATTATATACTACTGATAATAAATTGTATAATAAAGGCGGTCGTAAGGTTTGAAGCCTAGAAAGTGCCAAAGTGACTTTTGCCGAGTCATATGTATTTTCATAATGTATTTACTTATCACAGACAAACGGTAAAGAAAAATATATCTTGAGCAAACCTTATCTACTGATTATGAGTTAGGAATTACTAATCCGTCTTGACCCAGCACATGAAAGGTCAAACCTTCTCCTTATAAAAAGGGCCTTTGTTTAGTAGTTGATAAGCTGATGATTTCTGTGATAATAAATTATTATTGTAATAAAAATCATCATCATCATCATTGTCATCAGCCTGTTTCTCTTGCCGGACGTAAACGTGGTTCAAAGTTGGCCAAACGTTTCACATCACATTTCATATCAGTAACCTATAATTGCCCACTGCTGAGCAAAGGCCTCTTCCCACATGAAGAAGGTTTGAGCATTGATCATCACACTTGCTCAAGGCTGATGGCGATTTCAAACTTATAATTAGAAATTATAAGTCCAAGTTTCCTCACGATGCTAGTGGTGTCAAAATAAACATGTAAAATGTAAAGTACATGGAACTCGGAAAAGGTCACATTGGTACTTGCCAGGTTTTGATACCGCTCTCATGTATTAGAAACGGGCACCTTACCGGCCGAGGCACCAGCGGTGTAACATTTAAAAAGATAAAAATATCATTGATTATTTTCATTGACACACTAATTTCAAATCTCAGATCAATATCATACCTGATTCTTTGTAGTCAATACTTAAAATCAACGACGACCTAGTTAAAATTACTAACTAAATACTCAAGCTCAAACCTGGTGAGCATTTACATTTTAAATTACTCAATTCAGGAGTTAACTACACATAACTCTGTTAACATTGACTGTTTTATTGATAAACTGTGGTTTCTAAGATCGTTTGGTTAAACTATTTTATGTCTTCCGTTAGATATTTGGTTTAATATAAGTAATGGTTTATTAACTGATGTTACTTCAATTTGGATGTTAATGTTAAGTTCTGTTTTTAATAATGAATTTGAAATCAAAATAGAGTTTTTTACAAATTTGAAAGTTAGTCTGTTATTTCGTCTGTGACTTTTTTATGGATTGGAGGCAAACGAGCAGACGTATCACCTGATGGTAAGCGATCAGCGCTGCCCAAGGACACCTGCCACACCAGAGGAGTCACAGGTGCGTTGCCGGCCTTTTAAGAAGGAGTACGCTCGTTTCTTGAAGTTTTGAAGGTCGTATCGGTTCGGGAATACCGCCGGTAAACCGGCTTTATCTACTTAATAAATAATCCAACTGTTTCTATACATATATACAAACATTATGAAATATTTAGAGTACGGAAAAAGAGGTTGGCAACCATTGAAACCTTTTCCGAACTATGTTCATGTATTGTATGTACTTTCTAAATTTATTTAGACACCACTGACATACGGCGAAGAAAAAGATCGCGAGGAAACCTAGACTTTTATATTTTCGAGTAATGAGTTGTTGCTTTGAACAATCCGTTAAAAACAAACAGAAATATACAAGTTTGGAGATCAATGCTCATCCCTTCGCCATGTGAGGCTGATAATATAATAATGTAGACACATTTCTATTCAGTAAAATTTCAATTTTAGGTAAAGCAAAAAATTTATGAAAATTGAAAGGTAAAAACAGGAGACTGGCACAAAACAAAGAAAAAATATTCAAAAGAATCGTTTACAAATTGATAGCAGAAACTGCTACATTTGAACTTTACAGACAACGTTTTCGATGAAAATAGTAGCTTTTTGCTGAGTCAAATTTTTTGAATTTTTCGTCGGATTGCCTAACAATAAAACTACACAATTGTTGGAAAAAATATCAGACACATCGGTTGTCCGTATAACGTTTTCATTTAGGTATTAAAGGTATTCTTTGGTCTTGTCCTTTCAGAGTTCAATGTCGCATCCGTGCTGCTCTATGGGTATGAGACGTGAAAGATCATTAAGGTCATCTCCCGTCAAATCCAGGTACCACGACCACTAGTACTAAATAGTTTTGGACATTTTTTTTAAACGTTCCCTCACTTGAATTTTCTCCTGTGTCGTGGGTGCGTTTACAAACATACAATTCCACATGCACACATAGAGTTGTTCCGTGCGGGAATCGTTGCCCAGCCACCGTGCCAACCGCGCAGTCAAACCGTATTAGCGTACGGGAAACTTGAGACTGGTCGCGATGGAGGACTTCTGTGGACGACGTCTGCCTATCTAAGGTACCTATAGGATATTATGTCAAGTAAGTCATAGTCGTAAGGTACTATATGCCCCATTAATTCATCCAGCACTTACATCATCAGCCTACAAGTCCTGCAAGCCTGCTGAGTAAAAGCCTCTTCTCACCATGTTTGATCATTAATCACCACATAATTCTATCATATTTCATATTCTCTTTTTAGTATTTATTTATATTATGTGTATTAGTGTTTATATTTAATGTCATTAAATGCAATTATATATTTATATATGTGTATATTATTTTTATGTATGTAACTTAGAATTGATTTACACCTCCACCTCACGTAACTTCCTAAATTGCTGTATATCACCTACCACATATCCCTGCACTACCAAAGGGTTGACTGATATATATATAAATAATTCAAGGTGGATTGATATTTCAAACTTATAATTAGAAATTATAAATTCAGGTTTTCT